CGAAAAATTTTCCATGCTATTTCCATGAAATTGAATTGCGCACTATCTAAAAGACAATATTAAGAGCTAAAACTTATAGAGATTTTTTATTAATTGGAAGCAATTGAGCCCTGGGAGCAAGAAAATTCGAAAATATCCATATTAAGGACCACTCTAATATATATTATACATATACAAGAAATAGCACATATCAACAAACAATTATCAGACTTTGTTAGTACTAAAACTCCTAACTAATTCATCATTGTAAAAATGTGTTTTTCAAAAAGTTGTCCTTTTACCAAATAGGCGGTCCCTTTTTTTTGACCTGATCCCTTTTGCCTCATGGGCGGTGTAAAATGGTATAGCCAAAAGGTAAACAGATTAATGCCTTATTTGTAATTTTAAAAGAATTTTATTAAATAATAGCTTCTTTAACCAATATGTAAAACATACACTTTGTAGTTGCAATTTTACAAGCATAACACTGTATATAACCTCGATCTGGTATTTCGTCAGAAATATTCATCATCAGAATCGGAATAACTATTTATTCAATTTATCTCTTGTGCATTTTTTTAACTTAATTTACTTTTTATTTGGTATTTTTATTGTTTACACCTTTGCCAAGGTGAAAGATTTAGTATGTCCTTTTTACGCCACACAAATAATAAAATAAAAAACTCCTGAATCTAAGTTAAATTAACAATACATCTTATGAAATAATTAATTTATAATAACGTATATAAAAAATTAAGGTTTCGTAAACTAAACAATAGTGTTCAAAACCAGAAAACTAACAACAAAAAAAAAATACTTTTGTTGTGGATTTCCAAATATTGCTGTTTATTTCTCGATAGAAATGTCGTCAAAATCAAGGTGATGCTTGCTAATACATTTTTGTCACTACTTTCAAATATTGTTGTTTTAAACATTCGTAACTTTATTTTTGTTTTAGATGTTTTGACCTTTTTACCCGCGAAATTTTAACGCCGCTGTATCCTTTATATAAATTAAGTATTACAAAAAGAAAGAATTTAAAAAGTTAAAAAAATCTTAACGAATTTTCTAAGACCACCATCATAATTTTCTTTATACAAGTTTTAACTCCTATACATGTGGTAAAATAAAAATGCTTCCTTAAAATTACTCAGTTTATTTAAATGTTACTTGTATCGCATTTCAGCAGCAAGAGAATTATTTTACATAGTTTAAACATAAACATTAATATAAGATGGCGGATACATAGTTATAGTAGGAGAACACTATTGCCAATATCACTAATAGAAATTACGAGACATTTGAATTACAATATATAACATTACACAAAAATGTCAAACAATTTGTCCACAAACTAATAACTTTTTTGTTGAATTTTGTGAAGAGATGAGATGGGAAAGATACTTTTTCTTAAAATAAAAGTAGCCAATTTACGCCCAATTATATCAGCTACCAGTCAAAATCGAAATAGACAGATAAATAAAAATATTACTTTGGTATATGCACCCTATTTATATTGTTTATAGTCCACAAACTAATAACTTTTTTGTTGAATTTTTGTGAAGAGATGAGATAAGATAAGATACTTTTTCTTAAAATAAAAGTAGCCCAATTTACGCCCAATTATATCAGCTACCAGTCAAAATCGAAATTGACAGATGAATAAAATATTACTTTGGTTATGCACCCTATTTATATTCGATGAATGTATTAAAGAGCAATTTCAATATAAAAACAAACTCTCGCAATTTTATTTATATGCATAGATATATTCTTAATCGTATGTTCTTTGTTCCTTCAATATAACAATAATTGCAATTATCACAGTTCATCTTATAAACAAATTCTATAAATTATCAATTATTTCAGAAAATGTCGGACTCCGGATCCGTAGGCGCGGTTTCCGGCGGAAGCAACGGCCTGTGTCGGGTTTGCGGCGACAAGGCCTCCGGAAAACATTACGGAGTTCCGTCTTGCGACGGATGTCGAGGATTCTTCAAACGGAGCATCAGGAGGTAAAAGATATTATATATATATGTAGCGGCCTGTCAACACGCATCGCATTTCTACTGGACAGATAGGCTCATATAGTGACAGCACGGAGGAAACAAAATAAATTCAAGTGTCAGATCTGATCTCGCTTTTGTTTCTCCCTAGTCTTTTGCCAAAAATTATAATTCTTGAAACCTTTTCTTTTCAATTGTAATTACAAAAATACCAATCACATTTTATAAACGATCAATAAGATAACACATTGTGTCGTCAATATTAATCTTACGTAAAATAAACCAAATATAAAACATAATACATCCTGGAATTTATTATGACTACAATTTGGATAATTCTGGTATTACTTATGGACTACTAGCGCCATATATATATATATATATATATATAATATATATATATATATATATTATTGTGTCTTTTTTCAGGTTAATGCGTCGCAACCTACAATATTCCTGCAAGGAAGGAGGTCATTGCATAGTCGACGTTTCGAGGAGGAATCAGTGTCAGGCTTGCAGATTTTCGAAATGTTTGCAGGCTAACATGCGAAAGGACGGTGAGTCGATAAAAGATTAATCTTTCGGGAACTAAATAAAATTGCCGATTAATAATATATTTAACCTTTACTTCAGTGATAAATTTTATAAATTTATTTGAACAATATTTCCCATTGCAAAAACATCCCATCAAACAAAACCCAACTCTCAATTTATTTTTTTTTCCGTCGCTTACTAAATTTGACGCGACCTGCCCATCTCCCACAAATCCATTCCACTCGCTAATTCCGAGATCGGCGTCATCCGAGTCGAATGAGTTAATACAATTAATGTTATATAAAAATAATAATGATAAATGGTTGTGTGTCTAAAGACAATCCATAGTGTAAAAGCACTAGTCAACCCTTAGCCCTTTTCCGCCCTTATTTACTATTATTATAATGCAAATTTCGAAACTTCGGATATCAATTCCCTGCATTTACTTCTCTTGAGTAAATCGGCAATCAAGCGAATTCCTTTCCAGTCCTTTCATTCAGTTTTTCTGATTTGATTTTGACTTTTTTATATCTTTCGCTATTTTGGTGCATTGATGTATATTTCAATTTTTTAGAAAAAACTTTTCTGTTTACTTGAACCGAACCGAGATTATATATAGATTATATATGTGTGTGTGTGTGTGTGTCCTTATATTATTTATACAGTGTCAGATACAATCGTCCTGTATCAAGTGCTGTTTTAAGTCGAAGTTCGCCCCCAAAGTGCAAAAGTGTGCACTTTCGCACTTGATACATTTCGACAATGAGTGCTCTGTCAAAAACATTACCCACGAACCAAGTCCCTCTTATCATATTTATTTGCTATTCATTTTGTGATTGAATCTAATAATAATAAAAATAATTATAATAGTAATAATAATGGGTACCCTGTTCTAAATCGGTTCCAAGAATGTAGGCAAATTGAGATTTTGTGAAAGAAGTAAACTAGTAAGCCATTGAAAAATAATTTTGATACCCAAGAAGTAAAATTAAACTTTTTTTCAAAGGCACTTTTTACAAAACAGTAGTGAAGACGAAGCAGGTTATACTATTTTACGATAAGAAAGTAGTATAATAAAAGAAGTAGCTAAAATAAAAGTATATAATTTTGGAAAAATTATTTTTATTTGACTAAATAATTATTTAATTATTTTATGCTTCATATTTAAGTGAACCGATGTAAAAATATTTCACACTTTTTTTTGTGTGATCTGCCAAATGATGACATACGATCGTATATGTACTGTCAAAACGTACATAATTATAATATATACATATATATATATATATATATATATATATATGTATATATATATATTAGAGTGGTCCTTAATATGGACATTTTCGAATTTCTTTGCTCCCAAGGGCTCAAATGCTTCCAAATTATTAAAAAAAATTCTGTGAAAGTTATAGCTCTTAATATTGTCATTTGGATAGTGCGCAATTCAATCAAAGTTTTGAATGGAAATAGCATGGAAAACTTTTAAAAAAAAATTAAAAATGTTTTTTAGGTATTTAGGTAACTTAGCGTACCAATGAATGAGTTTTATTCAAAATTCGACGCTCTACAGATCAAATAAGAAACCTGTTTTGCAGAGTGTCAAATTTTCAATAAAGAATGACACAAATTTTCACTTTTAATTCATTTGTCGCTAAATTATACCTAACAAATATTTTATAAAATTTTAGAAATTTTATAACTTCCCGTAGGGCAAGTTATAGTAATCGCAAAAAAATCGAAAATGAAAATTTTTGCATTTCTCGACGTTTCAAAGGTTTCTGAATATTTTGGCATACCTTAGAAAAAAATGGATGTATGTGTGTGTGTGTGTGTGTGTGCGTGTATGTATGTGCGGATACAAATTTTCGTCGACGATTTCGGGAACACGGATCAACCAATTTGAATAATTCAAAAAACATTCGATTCGTATTGATAAGGAGACGTGCTGATTAGTTTTTGGCGAAGGCAGGTCTAGCCGTTCCGAAGATACGAGGCAAAAAGTGCCGAAAACGGTAACTCAGTTTTTAAGAGAACGGAGCGTCCGATTTTAATAATTCTTAATTTTACTTGTATTGACAAGGTGAAGAACCGATCAAATTTTCATAAAGGCAGGTCTAACGGTTTCGGAGATTTAATAAAAAAAGTAAAAAAAATGCCATTTGGCGGTCAAAAATGATCATTAGACATATGCACATCAAATTATCAGATATTTTATAGAGATTTTAACAATAAGTATAATTTTGGTTTACATTCCTATGGGTTCCGTACCAATGTTTACGCGTTTGACGTCGACGCGGCGCTTACGCGGTTTGATATTTCGTCTTTATGCAGTTAAAGCAGTACGATTGCTTTAAAAAAAAGTTTAGATCTTTCAAAATATGTCAAAATAAAGAAAACATTTTTTTTTCAAAAAAAAAAAATTAAAAAAAAAAAAAAATTTTTTAAAAGTAATTTTTTGTTTAATTGTTTGTCAAAAATCTTATTTTTTCAAAAATGTTAATCGTTTCTAAAAAAATAATAATTTTTGGTACGGGAAGTTCCAGCAATTTGCCTTAAGACACGATGCCCTAATTGCCTTAAGACAGAATTCCACTTACAGCTAGTTCCATTATATTTCCAAACGAAGCTTTGATTGAATTGCGCACTATCTAAAAGTTAATATTAAGAGCTATTATTTATCAATTTTGAAGGGTTTGATCCCTTAAGAGCAAGGAAATTCGAAAATGTCCATATTAAGGACCACCCTAATATATATAGTTCGTTTTAATCACATCTCGAATATCGTATCACTTTAACGAAGTACTTGTGTTGTTTTCTTTGCAAACACATTAAACTCCAAATGCTCACCACGAAATTATCAAGGAGGCTAGAAGGGCGCTCTCTAAGTGATACTTCAGATTTATTATTCAGATTTTAACGTGTATTCAGTTAATGGAATGAATCAACTCACAGAAGCATATTTCGCTAAAAAAGAAGTTGAAACCAAACCTTGGTCACAATAATCAATGCAATATTAGATGAAATAGAAATAATAAGAATAAATTTCGACATACCGAAGAATGAAACGAATACTCAAAACGTTTACAAGTTAATTCACAATTTTTTTAACCTAACATTGTTTATTTTGATTATTGTATGGACATCTGAAGAATTTTTTTCGGATTATTATCAAAATATGTATGCAAGAGCAAAGAGCTTTTAGGAGTCTTTTCAACATCAAATTTAAAAATCGTCGTTATAGGAAAAACCCTAATAAAACATGCCAAAAGACGGCCATCGAGTTGTCTTCTAAACCGCCGTAGTTGAGATACAATATCATCAAAATAGAGCATAAAAATACATACACACTAATTTTTTCAATATTTGCCTCAAATGGGAAAACAAGACATAAAATTAGCAAGTTTTGGCAAAAACATAAACTGTGCTCACTCTGGATGATTATAATATAAGTCACGCAAATTTTAATAGAACAAAAAATAATTATATTAAAATAAATTGTATTAATTCAGCATACGTTTCAAGCTTTTCAGTGCAATTCAAAATTTAGATATAAATTATTCTTATTAGTTTATAGTTCATTCCATTATATAAATAGGAGACTTAGTTTTGATTGGGGATCCAAGAAAACAAAATATTTTGTATATATATTTATATTTGTATATTTATGATGAAAAGATGTGTGGCTTTTGATAAAAGGTCGCGTGTCCGTTTCTTTTCAAATAGCAGGTGGCGAAGTTCACATTATTATTACGTTGTCCGTCTAGAATTACATAAGGGCGGATGTAAACATTGCTCCTACTAGTCCTAATATATATATATATATATATATATATATGTATACATACAGTGCAGTAGAAATAAAAATTACTAATTGCACACAAGTGATACTCTGGTTTGTAATTGACATGACATCATGACTGCGGTAACAAGGGTCGTCACCCCTTATGACACATACAGAACATATGTACATACATATATATATATATATATATATATATATATATATATATTTGTATATATTGCCCCTAAATCAGAGACATAAACTCTAAGGAATGATGAACTATCGTTATTTTATCATAAAAATTGGACTTATAAAATAATGGATAACAGTTATCGAAAGAAACAAAGAGCAACCTGAATTATTCCGATCAAAAAAATAATTTATATAAAAGAGCATTATAAAATAGACCTATGCATCCTAATGCAAAATATCGACAAAAATATTCCGGAGAGTAGAGAGAACATTAAAAAATAACGCATTTCAATGTATTTATATAGGAAAAATTGGTTCGACATACGAGCGTAATTACGGTACGAATTACTCTCGTATGTCGATGTACCAGTGTATTTACTATGTACGTTTCGACAAACAATGTGTGTCATCATTTAGTTTCGATTATCCTAACTAATTGATGACACGATCACTATTCCTCCGACACTTTTCCTGTCAATTTCATAAACACAAAATGGTCGCAAAGTACACAAAACCATCCCCTTTCGGGAAAAAACCCTCGAACACACAGACATTCGTATTGTCAAATAAAATAAGAGGCGTTTGGAGGTTCCAAAGTGTTTGTTCAGGTTTGGCGGTTCACAAACACCAGGGGAAGAAATTGTAGAAAATTGTATGAAATTCATTAACCAAGTAAAAACAGAAGATGGTAATTAGGGAATGCAATACTGATGAAAATTTCATTACCGGTATTTCGGTAATTTTTCATTTTAAAACCGGAATACCGCGGTAAATAACCGGTATTTTCATTATCTTAAACAAACGTAAACAAAATTGAAAGTTACTAGTACAAATAAAAAAAAATATATATAAAACTACAACTATATTCAACTAAACAATAAAAACCATAAATTAAACTAATAAGTTTATTTTTTTAATTAATAATTTAACAATATTCTATCCAATTTAATTAATTCATTATCACTATCGAGTATATTGAGTACTTTTCACCAAAAACAAACTTATGAGTAAGAAAGACCAAAAACTCATAAATGATCATATTGCATTATTATAATAAACTGTATTGTCTGTATCCGATGTGTTAAATTAGCATAATCTCTAATATTTAAAAAAAAAAATAATGTTTCTACACTAATTTAAGACCGGATACTTTGTCGAGATAAATAATAAGTTACTATAATTGTTGAGTATTGTTATTTAAAACAGTGTGATGCTTCTATAGTAATTTCAAACTTCAAAACGTTTTCGAAGAATAATATTTTATAATTGTAATAAGAAGCTAAAATATTTAGTAATTATCATAATTATCTTCTATATATATAAAAATAAGTCGGTTTTTCCTTCCTGACGAAGTAACTCCAGAACGCACGAACCGATTTCGACAATTTTGCATTCGTTGGAAAGGTCTCGGGCTCCGCAAGGTTTATAGCTAAGAAAATTAGTTGTGCATGGCATCGTGCCTTAATGCAAGCTGCTGGAACTCCCGCACCGTAATTAAAAATTCGAGTAATAAAAATAATCAGTAACTGTTTTAAATAATTTCAAATAAATTATCTTCTATATATATAAAAATAAGTCGGGTTTTCCTTCCTGACGATATAACTCCAGAACGCACAAAACGATTTCGTTTCGTTTATAGCTAAGAAAATTAGTTGAAAATTTGCGAATTAATTATGGATTCACTTTCATTTACTTAGAGAAGTTCAACTAAAAAATACTTCATTTTTGTAATCGAAATAAATTCATTACTGTTGTACAATAAAATTAAATTTTTCCTTTTCAAATTTAAAACAAACAAAAAATTTCTTCATCTTTCTCACGAAACCATCTGGTGGCGAAACGGAGTTCGTCGGGTTTGCTAGTTATGTATAAAGTTAGAAAAAAATAAAGATTACGCACAGGTAATCTGTATGATATAATAAAATATTTTGGTGCAAATATCACTTAAAAAACCGTTACAATTTTACATAAGATGAAACAAACATCATTATCTATCAGTCCAAATCTATTTATTGTAACACGATATGAAGCCCTTTGTAAAGCAATAAATATTCAGTATAATGACGAGTTGAGATAATATTTGACATTTGTTTATCTTATAGAATCACTTAAAGATACAGCTATTTATGCGATTATGGAATTTAAAGATAAATTTGTTCCGAGAAATTTAAACTTTAGTGTATTATGCATCAAATAGGTCTTATGTAAAAATACCGAAAATACCGGTATTTTTGGGGTAAATACCGGTAAAAATACCGCCGAAAAATCGGGCGGTTTACCGGTAATTCGGTATATCGGTATTGCATTCCCTAATGGTAATGAATAAATGGCAAATTTAAGAAGAACGTCAAAATAGTTAGCATTTGTCTGGCAATTCTGTAAAATATTGTTGGTATAAGAATAGTAGTTGTGCTTGTACCAGGATTCTATTCGAAATTGGATTATCGCACAGCAACCACATAGCATTTTTAGTTTTTACTATTTTACAACAAAATCGTCCCCTTAATTCGCATAATATTTAACATCGTTAATATTACTGCAGATAGTGCAAACGTCCCTTTTTCCTAAAATTTCTTTCCCTTTCTTATCAAGTGTATGTATCGACCTATTATCATTAATATTTATTATTTCTAGCTGTCCAGCACGAAAGGGCTCCTCGCTCCTGTCTACCAAACCAGCAGCACAATTCTACACAAAATTTGGGTAATATACCACCAAATCAAACGTACCATTTACATGGTACAAACACGTTGGCTGCGACACAAGAAACGACGTCGAGGCGCATGTTGGCGCCTTTGGTTGGCGTGCAACATCATCCGGGTAAAAAAATAATAAAGAAGGAAAAAAAAGGAAAAAATAGAAAGAATGATTAATTTACGTTATTTTTTTAGGTTTTTATTTACCACTACCGTTTAATACAACCGGTCACTATATACCACATCATCCAAACTTTGCACCGGTTATAGATGGATCAAGATATTTTGGAGGTAAAAAGTGTTATATATACTTTGAGATTTTTTTTTATATAAATACAACCGACTAAAAATATATCAATAAAATACGCCGTAATTCATTTGATCTCTTTTTGCCAAAAACTCTTTTGAATCTTACTGAAGGATCCGCCAAAAAACTTTTTTTTGGAAAATGTTATAAAAAAACTACTTAATATATTTTTTTTTTAAAATATTGAGGGTGATTTGGCTGCCTTCGGCTAACCATTGAAAAATAAAAGAAAATGAAAAAAATTATATGCCAGATCCTATTTAGCAAAAAAAGTCAAAAAGTACTTCTATTATGTATAATTATCTTATTAGTATTTAGATAAATTTACTTTTTCTTAAGACAATCTATAGAAAATTATTTTGTCTTTACATATTTATTCATTTTATAAGCCGTTACTTATTTATTTATTTTGTAATAAGGCTCATGTCAATATTTTACAAATTTAATATAATTTAATTATCTATTTTGTTAATTTATTCATTAATTATTTAATTTATTTACTACGATAGAAATATCAATCAAAAAATGATTTTTGAATCATTTTAAGTGTTTAATTTCAATTATGTTTTATTTTCAGGTTTGTTCGACAGTCCAAGTCTAGCAGGTCTAAATCCATTTTTGTCTGGTTTTAATAATTTGTCAGGAATTTATAAACAGGACACAACGTACAAGGATATAATACATCCTATACCAATACAACCAACAAACACAAATTCTATACTAAATCCAGAGAAGAAAAGTGACCAGATAAGTTTTGGAGGTGAGAAAAAAAAGAATATATATATATATATATATATATATATATATGTGTGTATATATATATATATAAATAATTATGTATATAACGATTCATAACTTAAACACAAGTCGTCATAATTTTCTATATAAAGAAAACAACGCCGACTTGCTGAATCTTGTTTCATTCAACTTCAATTTTCTAGTATGCAAAAATAGCCTATATATTTTTTGACAGCTTCAAAAACAAAATTTATTTATCTTTGGTAAATAACGTTGGTAAATAACTTTGGTAAAAAACTTTGGTAAATGACTTTGGTAAATATTCTTTATTTTCATATTTAAAGAGCCAATTCTCGAATAAAATAAAAATGTTACAAAAAAATGTTAAAAATGTATGAATCTGTAGTAAAAACTGTCAATAAGTTGTAATACAATTGTTGTACCATCAGGCGCTTTACACATAAAATCTAACCACCAAAACGCACATACATCAAATAACAAGTTTATCATAAGTGCAACTTTCTGGCAATAGATAGGTGACGTTAGATTTTATGTGTGAAACACCTAATTCACAGCTGTTTGACAGTTCGTTACAACCAATTCATAAGAAGATAGACCCATAACATAAAAATATCATTGCCATTTATATTTTATCCGAGAATTGGTTCCTAAATTTTTGTTTTTCTAGCTTCGTCAACTACATCCCCAGTTTCGGCAAAAGACGACGAAGTGACTTCCACCGAAGGACTACCCTTAACCGGTTCAACATCCTCCAACCCTAATCAGGTTGCAACATCGTTTGTACCAACACCATCAGGTGGAGAAAACGTTTACGAATCTGCTGCTAAATTATTATTTTTGGCTGTTAAATGGGCTAGGTCGATACCTTCATTCGCACAGGTAATAAATAAATAAATAATTTATATATATATATATATATATATATATATATTTATATATTGAGATCTCGATCAAATGATTCGGGAAAAATCAAAAACGGCTAAACCGATTTGGCCAGTCTTAGTCTTGAAAAATTCGTGCCAATCCAGAGATGGTTGGAAAGGTGAGATATTATTTCAAAATCGCGTAGAAACTTTACATTTTTAATTTGAAATTTTTTGTAGAAGCGTAATTTAAATAAAACAATGGACGGTGGCTAATACGTCAAATGTCAAACGTTTATGACATATGATGTTCAATTACGTTTAATAGGATGTTTAACGTGAATATTATTTAATTATGATTAAATTGTAGTAACTAGTTTTGTTTGTAGTTTGATTCATACACAAAAACGTTATTAAACGGGCAGCAAGTGTTATTAGAAACTCAAAATATCAACTTTTTTGAAATGTTAATATGAAAATGCACTCTTTGGCATATTTTTCTCAAACACGGTGCTCTGAAAGATCTCATTTGTATAATTATACACTCATTGGTATTTATAATACCTCATTGTATAATAGCATTCGAGCGACACATCCTTATACACTTAAAGTATTAACATTTTTGATTCTCTAGAAATTGTTTAGAATATACCTCACTTAACAAAACAACGTATGCCGGGTCAGCTAGTATATATATATATATATATATATATATATATATATATATATATGTAATGAATATAAATGTTTTAGTTATCTCTGAGGGACCAGTCGTTGCTTTTAGAGGAATCCTGGGCAGAACTGTTTGTTCTGACGGCTGCTCAATGGAATTTGCCTATTGAAGAAGGTAAGTTCGATAGATATCCAATATTTTCGACATTTTTCAATATTTTAACACGAATTTCGACCGATTAGTAGGAATCAGTAGAAATGAATCTAAAAACGAACTTATGGCAATATAAGCACTATATTGGTAATAACCCAAAATTCATATATTCATGATTCATTTCTACTAGGAATAAAATCTCATTCTGAATTATGTATTCAAAACTTTCATAATTTTCAATAAAACTAGTGCTAATAGTTGAAGTTCAGGATTTTAACCAAAACGTGTGGTGTTTATATATTATATAGTTAATATTTTATTCCTATTTCAGATTTGTTGCCAAGGAGTTGCATAAGCCTTCGATCTGATACAAGAAGACTAAGGGACGTTATAACAAAATACATCTCTATGCGTGTCGACAATTCGGAAGGAGCTTGTCTAAAAGCTCTTGTCCTCTTTCGACCAGGTAAATGAATAAAAATAAAATAATACATGCAAAGTATGTTTGTAATTGAAAGACGCCTTTTTGCTAACCTTGATATAGAATGACAATAAATTGTTGTCATTGGCAGTTGTAGTAAAATCTGCCATAAGACATATCAAACATTTTTTAAATTCTACCAAAGAAATGTTTTTTTATCATTAGATGTCCGCGGTGTGTCTGCTCCCGAGCAAGTGGCATTGCTGCAGGAGCAAAGTCTGACATTGCTTCAGGAACGATGTGGAAGTTCCAGCAGACTTGGCAAGTTGCTGCTGATTTTACCAGCGGTCAGAGGGGCTTCGAATCCGGATAAATTACAAGTAAATAATAAAAATATATATATAGATAGATAAGATATCTCGTATATTTATTTTCCCCGAGATTTAAAACAAACGAATTTTTTAAAAAAAAAATCCAAAATTTTTCAAAAAATCCAAAAAAAATATGATTTTTTTAGGGACTGAAAATACACGTGATGTTCTGTGGGAGAGTTTGGGTTAATTTTAACTAATACCACGTATTCAAAATTCAAAGTTCAAAATTCCTTAAAAATCGATCACGTGATTAATGGACGCTCCCCAAAGAATCAGTAAAAAAATTGATTCAATGTAAATATAAGTACTGAGCCACAGCAAAACGTGGCCGGGTCAGCTAGTATATATATAAAATATTCAAAAAATATATACTCATGAATTTGAAAACTGTAAAATATATTTATAAAACTTTAAAATCAGTCTTATTTTTCTAATTGAAGGGTAGATTGTGTTAATTTTGAATAATACCACGTATTACCAGGGGGGTCGAAAAATCCTTAAAAATCGATCACGTGATTAATATACGTCCCCCAAATGATTAGTAAAAAATTGATTCAATGTAATTATCACAAATAATAAGCCACAACAAAGTGGGGCCGGGTCGATCCCTAAAAATCGATCGCATGATTAATGAACGTTCCTTAAAGAATTAGTAAAAAAAATTGAATCAATGCAAATATAAATACTGAGCTACATCAAGGCGTGTCCGGGTCAGCTAGTATATATATATATGTATATATATATATAATGTTCAAAAAATCATACTTATAATATACTTAAAAATCGATCGTGTGATTAACGCAAAGAGAAAGATTAGTAAAAAATTGACTCCATGTAAATATCACAAATAATGAGCCATAGCAACGCGTGGCCGGGTCGGCTAGTATATATATATATATATATATATATATAATGTTTAAAAAAACATACTCATAATCCTCATAATCCTTAAAAGTCCCCCAAATTATTAATAAAAAAATTGATTCAATGTAAATATCATAAGTACTGAGCCACGGCAACGCATATATAAGGTTATTAATAAAAACATCTATATATAATTTTGAAAACTGTAAAATATATTTATAAAACTTTATAAATCACAGCCTTAATTTTCTAATAACAATATATATTAACCTAACATGTTAGATAATTAAAAACAAAAATCGAATACTTAGGACTATATCCAAAAATACAATTGTATATGCAATTCATTGTTGAACAAAATAAGTCTTCTTCTTCATTCATTTCCAAAATACTCATCACAAACTCACTATCCTATCTCAAACAAAATCCTTCCCGCAAATTCTTTATTTCACTTCTTTATTATTTTAAATTTTTTCAACATCATACGCCGAATCATCTTCGTCCAGAATCTTAACACCAGAATAATCATCCTGGGTGTACAAACTCGCCGCAAAGACGATGTCCCTCTGGATGGCCTCAGAAGCCTCGTCCATCTTCTGCCCTAAAACAGGATCCCCTATAATCCTAGCAGCACTTTTAGCATCCCTAATAGTCTCATTCAACTGTTGTATACACCTTACAATAATCCCTTCCTGGACGTCAGTCAGTCTCATTATATCCGAAAGGGCTTCTTCTGCGCCCATTCGTAAACCACATTGATGAGACCGAAGTTTAGCTTGTTGACTGTCGTGTTATCCTGGGCCACATCGAATTGTCTTTCGATTTGCATAATTTCGGTTTCAATGTCATTTATCTCGCCGATGCATTTTTGGAAAATTTTGGGGATTTCGATCTTTTCGCATTTGGCCTGGAAAACTAGGCAGCTGAGCAGAGCCGCGATTTCGGCAGGTGGTAGGTCTTTTAGGATGTTTCGGAAGATGATCTCGGTTATTATGAGTTCGTTGTTGCCCATTTCGCAGGCTACTCTACCTTTGAGGAGGACTGGAAATAGTAAAGGAATATGGGAATTGTTACTACACGGTTCTTCATCGAGAAGGCAATAATTGGCAGTAGAGTTTATACAAAAACCGTCATTTCAGAAAAACCGGTTTTTGAATTTTAATTTTACTCAAAAACCGATTTTAGCCGGTTTTCAAATTTTATATAGAAAATCATTTTTTTTCTCGAATATTCTGTAATTTATCCGCAAATTTAGTGTGATTTAGAGCAGTGTTTGACTGTATTTATTTATTGTTCAATTTTACAGATAGTAAACAAAATTAATTTAATTTTAATTAGCAGAACTAAAAATTATAGTTTATCTTGATTTATTTAAATAACTTTGAAAATAATTATTTGTTATTCATGCATCATTTTCACATATAAGAATGAAAATATTGTTATGATAGTGAAAGAAAAGTTTTCGAATAAATAAAAACATTAAATTTTTAAATAAAAAATATTCCTTAAATTAATATTAGATACATGTTGATACATACTTGTTAATATCAATTTTAGTTTTGAAAACAATTAAGCTAAACTCTGGTATTCCTGGTTCCAAGCAAATTTAATTAATTGATTTTAAACATTCAAATTGTTTCTATTTGTTTATAAAAATATGATTTCAAAAAACTGAGAACATCTATCGAATTGCTACTTAGACGTGTCCTTTGTTTACTCACAAAATTTTCTGAATAGAAAATACTCTCATACTAGCGACCAAATTATGCTTAATTGTTTTTAAAGCTTGATATAATAATTTTAAGTTTTTTGTTCTTTAATTTGTGGCTTCTAGGGTTCAAAACTCTTTTTTTTCAAGTTTGAGTAGAGGAAGTTACTTTTTCAAGAAATCACACTGATTTAAATTAATATATACACTGGTATAACAATCTAAATTAATATATACAAAACCTTTCTGGGGACCATTGCAAACTGATAAGATATCAAATTTTATTGAACCGATATGATTTCAAGAATCAAAACTCTTTCATCTATCTTTTATATTTGGCTATATTTGTCATTTTCCATTTATACAGTGAAAACCGACTTTTTTCACTTAAAAACCGGTTTTCGAATTCAATAATTTTTGCCAAAAAAAACGGTTTTTGGAAATCGACAATCCCTAACTGGTAGTAAAGGAATTATGTAAAGTGCTACGTATTTACCACTCGGTTCTTCATTTTGAAGTAGGACCTACTTTTCAATGTTGACAAAGAAGTTTTTTCAAAGTAGGACTTGTCAACATTGAAAAAATTATGTGAACAGATAATCACAGAAGATAATAATGATTCAAACACCGGATTTAGGCAGGCCCAATCTTGAATTTATCAAAGCCAGACAACTCTCATGAAAACGATGTAAGAAACAAATTACTTCTCACAATCAGAAAGAAACATATGCATTAGAGATGAGCTTATCATATCCAAAGCCGGAGTTATATCTACTTAATAATTTCAACGACTCCGACAACTTTGAAACCTAATACTCGACACAAATGTGTTCTATAGTGTGATGTTCATATATCTAAAGATATATTAAGTATTTGGAAATCTTTTGTTTCGCCACCAGATGTAACATTTTGTTTGGTGATTAAATATGAAGAAAAAAATTGCCTGCTGTTGAAATTGAATAAAAATTTGCACAATACACGTGATTGATTTGATGGTTTCCAATTGAAATGTTAGGAAACGAATAAATTTTTTTTACATTTTTTGCACAATATCACAGTGAACACAATGCCGGTTTGTCACATGAAATTAACTGAGCGGAGAACAATGAGTAACTGTCAAACAAATGAGTGAAGTCAAACAAAAAATATTAGTTTGCTAAGTATCAGAGATGACGCTGTATGTGAATTTTTTTTCCGCTTTTCTGTTGATATCTTTCTTCATTTTTTTTGCTATGAACCTTACGGAGTCCGAGACCTTTCCAAAGAATGCAAAATTGTCTAAATCGGTTCGTGCGTTCTGGAGTTATTTCATCAAGAAGGAAAACCCGACCTATTTCTATATATATAGAAGATTACTATTTTATGCATTTCTCAATATGCCCAATTAATTGTAAATCAGGCAGTCCGATTTGCATATTATTGCTTTTACATAATTATAAAATCATAAAATAATTTCAAATATTTTTTGCTGGTTGTGTACCATTGAAAGGGGTCATTTTCAGACTAGGATTATCGTATACAGAATATACGATTACAAAATTGCATTATTTTGGAACATTTTGTACCTAGAAAGTTATAAAATTGCCTGTGAGACGAAAACGCAGGGGCTTCTTTCGATGCAAATCTTTGTATTTGTAAAAATCTCAAGCAAATATCTTTTGTAGGTCTTTAACAAATTTAGTCCCAGTTTATGGAACCAGATTGACTCCAAGGGAGGAGTTGTATCGGTCGGAGTGAATTACCCATCTCTAATGCATAATTAGAAAATGCGTCGTAAAAAGATTCGAAACCTAGAGCCATAATCCATATTTTGACAAGTTTTGTTTTGTTTCTAAAAAACTTTTGCTTCATTGTGGGACCAATTTTCTGATAACATAGAAATGTTGACAAACTGTGGAAAAGGCACCAGAACAATTTTAGCACAAGTGCAACTTTTTTGCAAACCTCCAAAAAGCACCAAAACAATTTTATCATAAGTGCAATTTTCTAACACAAACGTGAAGTTAGGTTTTGTGTGAAACTCCTGCAAACACATAGATTTCTGAATTATACGATTATTGATTATAGACTTTATATTACATGGACAATTACTAGTCAAGCGCAAAATAGGTGCTAAAATATAGAAGTGACGCCACATTCTGAGCAAACAAGGCCGGTAATCGTGACATTTGATCAATCGGAAGAGTCCGCTATTGTCGTCGGCAATGTTCGCTCAGACATGTGTCGTCACTTACTTTTCTATTTTTGAGCACTATATACAACGGAAAAACATACGAGGACTAGCAGTCCATGTAGTGTATGTCTATGTTATAGACCCGTAACATAACATTTCCATTGTATGCGAAAAGTGTCCCTCAATGATGCTAAAGTTCTGCCAAGATAAAGAATATTATCATCCCACTCACCTTTATTATGCGAATCGATGTATCTCATATCGTGCAAAACTTGCAACTTATGCTTATAGTCCGGATACAAAGACATGCTCTCATTCGACAGACTGAACGATATCTTGCTCTTCCTGTCCTCCAACAGCATCCTGTCAAAGACTTGTCCAAATTGCTTCTCGAAATTAGCAATAACCGTACACTTTCTGATCTCCGCCAAAGCCCTCTTCACACTATCGTACAACTCCAAATCCCTTAAAATACCGATGTTCTTGGTGATATCCATAGCCTGGCGTAGATTTTCGCAATACTGGGTTTCATGTAAGTCTTTTAGTTCGTTGGTGTGTTTTAACAATTCTTGTACGGCGTTGTTGAAAGTGTTACTCGGTGGACAGTGGGCAAACCTGTCGATCTGGCGTTGGTTCCAGTCTTTTAAAATAATGGCAGGATCTAGTCTGATGACTCGATTTGTTATAGCAATGATGTTCCTGGCATCGATTTGTAAGACCGTGTTGGATAGATCGGTTTGGGGTACAAAGAACTTGTTTTGTTCGGTTAGGCCTAAAAGTTTTTGCCACAAATCCAAAGCTTCTTCGCTTTGCGCCTTGGAGGAACATTCGCTAACAGAACTAGGTATATAAGGTTTAGCTTTGGTGGTTTTGTCTGTTAAAACCAAAACCGTGATCTTTAAGTCTTTGCGTATTTGTAAAACCATACCAAGTCTTGGTGTGTACCAGCCTTGGGACACAATAAGTAAACGTCCTAGGGTAAAATACTTAGCATTACCTTTCTGGTTCAACAGTACAGGCACAACTCTGTCTTGGCAATACAGAAACTCCGACGCAGTCGTGTAAAATTCATTCAACCCATACAAATGCTCGCTCAGTTCTTCCATCGACGATATCTGTATCTCAGTTTCCTTGAGTTGTTTTTTCAAAGCATCAGCTTTACGCATGTGTCCAAACTCGCGAAAACTATGACACATCATGTTTTCAACCGTGACATCCTGGACGCGCAACAAGTTGAGAATCATAGCATATGTGAGTCTGAATTGTGACTTCAGGATCATGGGTATACCCAGCATCATTTCTTTAACGTCTCGGCAATCAGGTACATCAGTTTTGCACAAGACTATGACGGTGCCGGTGCTGTCTAAGCCTCTTCGGCCGGCTCTGCCGGCCATCTGTATATACTCTGCAGGCATTAACATTCTCACAGCAACTCCATCGTATTTGGTGCAGGAATCGAAAATAACAGTACGTGCTGGCATGTTTACACCCATAGCAAAAGTTTCTGTAGCAAACAGAAGTTTGACCAACTCTTGTTGGAAACACATTTCAACAATTTCTTTCAAAATAGGTAAGATACCACTGTGGTGCACACCAATACCACGTTGTAACAAGTTCTGCATAAACAGTACTTGTGGTAAATTTCTGTCGGGTGCGTTTAAACGTTTGAGACACCTGGAGAAAAACCGGTGTATCTGGTTCTTCTCACGCTGGCTTGTAAAATCTATGGAGTTCAAAGATTGTGCATTTAAATCACAACGTTTTCTGGACAAAGTAAACGCTATAACAGGCAACTCGTTGTTGCGTTTCAAATGATCTATTAAACCAACCCACATTGTTTGTTCCTGCTTGGGATTAAGTTTACCGTGTCCAAACTCTTTACGAAAATCTGTCTGGCGTGAACGCTTCGACAACTGTGCAGACTTGTAATTATTATCCAACCAATTACCATCAGCATCCACAACCAGGAACCTGTCGTCCCTACTTTTACCACCAAAGCCTGTGTATAAATAATGTTGCAAAGGTACTGGACGCTTGGCAGTACTTATAACATAAACTTTGCTTCGTTTAGTCATGCCAACCCAGTTGGCAAACTCTAAAGTATTCGGTACTGTTGCACTCAGCATAACAATACAAACATGTTGGGGTAGTAAAATCAAAACCTCTTCCCAAACGTGCCCTCTATCAGAATCATTAATGTAATGCACTTCATCAAAAATGACATACTCCAAGTCACGGGTGATGTCACTACCACCGTACAGCATTGACTTTAAAATTTCTGTAGTCATAATCAAACACGAGGCTGTTGAATTAATTTGTATATCACCTGTTATCAAACCGACATCACTAAAAGTATTTGTAAAGTCTCTGTACTTTTGGTTAGACAAAGCTTTTATGGGTGAAGTATAAATAGCCTTGTCATGTGTTTACGAGACAAAGCTATAGCATATTCAGCAACTACAGTTTTACCTGCTGATGTATGAGCCGCTACAAACACATGATTGTGCTCTTCCAGTTTAATTATTGCTTGTTTCTGGAACGTGTCCAAAACAAATGGATAGGTATGTGCAGGCTCTGGTATAACCTTTTCAAAATCAGTAACCGGTTGCGATATATCAATCTCCTCAGCCCAGAGTAAAGATTTAGACTTCACACAAATATCAGCAGACGTTGATATATTAAGTACAGGCAAATCTTGGTTGATATTCGGGATAAAAGAATCTATGTCAACAGAATCGGTTGCTGGTGCAGGTTCTTGGGTTGTTTCAGGCGTTTCATCGCTTTTCCAAATGTCTTTAAATTTATCCTCATCAAGCGTCAAGGCTAACAAGTCAACCGTAATATTACCCGTTACAGACTCTAAACCTAAATCCTCAATCCTCTCTTGGTGACTTGGTTCGTGTTTAGGAAACTCTATACCGTGTGGCAACCCGGGTGCACATACCAACAAATTATCTTCGAAATCAAGTACAACATCATCATTCAACAATACTTCTTCCGGAGGATCAAAACCTCCAGGCCAAAACGGGTAGTTCATAACACTACCCATTGTGGATTCTTCGGGGGGCGCAGGCGCTCGTTGTAAAGACATGGAGGTCCTTCCATCGTAAGCTAGTGTCAAGTTATCAACTTCTTTAAACCCGATAATGTCACCAGTGTCCAAATCGCGCTCAGCGACTATCGTTGTGTTCTCGAAACAAGGAACACAGTCGAAAGATAAAGAAATGTCTTCCAAATTGAATTTAATCGGTTCGGTGTCTAGTTTTAGGATGTCTATATCGGGGTTTAGAATAAAATCGCGTAGACGTTCGGTATCATTATCATCCATTTTCATTGTACAAGATAAATGTATAAAAAAGCTTGTAAAGTTACCTTGATAGATACAATCTTTTGTTTCGGCTGATAGTCAATTGTTTATCCTGGTTTTAGGTTATGTACACTCACTTTTTGCACAACTTCATAACAAAGGAATAATACTTAAATTCACTTCTCAACTACAAATATACGTATACTAATAATAATATACTTGTGTATTTTAGTATAATACCGTATTATTAAGTCTTTAGAAGCATTTTTTGCACTAAATCTTATAACCAACAAGTTCAACGTCAAACTGTCATGTCGGCTCGTTTGACAAATTGCCAGATAACGAATTCAAATTTAGGGTTGCCAGATGAGAAATAACCGTTGGGATTTAAAAATCATAAGCAAGATAAAATTATTTTTTGCAACAATTATTAATTATTTTGGATAATAAAATATATAATATTTCTATTAAATATAAAATATTTTAATATTTTAAAAATAAAACTACTAAACAACTACAAACTAAAATACAACTACTTCATGTCAATAACACCTTAACAAAGTTATAAATGAATAAACTATAAAACAAGTACACATATATCTCAAAAACTTTTGTTTTAAGCTGTATAGTACTGAATTACCAAATCAATCATAAATTTAATTTTGAATAAATAATAAACTTGTTCTACTATTTATTTATAATCATCATAATATACTGAAACACTCTTAATATACAAAATGAAAGAGTGAAGAAAATAAAAAGAATAAAAAATATATATTGAATTGAATATGAAACAAAATTAGGAAAAATAATATAAAATAATGACAAAGATGCATTAATAATATAAATATAAAAAGAAAGATGAAATCTGATTAAATAATAACAATCCAGCAACAAAATCTAGCTTATCGCTTATTTAGCATGTTCAAATCTCAAATAAATATATTAAATCTCAAATATCACCTCATATAAATTTTAGTGAAAACTTTGATTTGAACCCAATGGCTACAAATATATGTCTTCCACCACTACTTATTCAAAAGTCTCGTATATTTTTATTATCCATAATAATTTCTATCATTTATTTCCAGGAACTCCTATTCAAAAGAACAATCGGAGAAGTTGCCATCGAACGACTACTAGGCGACATACTCAATGGAGCACATTAATAAAACTAAAAATTCAATATTAAATTATACATTTTATTATTTATTTATTATTAAAATAATTGTTAGGCATTTTATAAATGTTTGAATTAGATGTAAACGAAATTAAACAAAATATATAAATCTCTTAATATGATAAATCATTGTACCAAAATCATTTTATATATATATATATATATATATATATATATATATATATATATATATATATATATATATTATCTTACAAATATTCTGTGCTGTAAGACTTTGTAGGTCCAGCTAAAGCCTTAAGTGCAGGGCTTGGAAAACCCGTAGATTTTTCAAACTTTTCGGTAACCAGCGGTAATACTTTTTCAACCAGGAAGGTACGATTTTTACTCAGGAAACCAGACTGCAGATAAAGTAAGAAATAATATATATATATATATATATATATATATATATATATATGAGTAAGTTCTTGTGGGGCGATACATCAAAGAATAAAAGCCAAATATGGAATTAAAGATTAATTTATAAATCTTTGCTTTTTATTCTTTGATGTATCGCCCACAAGAACTTTATATCTCAACATCAAATCAACAACTAAATCATATATATATATATATATATATAATATATATATATATATATATATATAAATCAATCTACTTACATCAACTTTTTCACTTTGCGAAGGCCTAACTTTAATATGCGCTGAAAACATATCGCACAGCAAGGCCTCTGATAAATGTCGTCGTTCAACAGGCATTCCCAAAACACCACAAGCCGTTCCAATCAAAATAAATTGCTTTGTGAAACTTAAAGTACTTGGACTTAATGTAATCCACGTATCGCCTGAAAAAAATCCATCTAATTAATAATATGTTTGAAGTCAAGTACACATTTGATGTTTAGTGTACTTACCTGATATATATGATTGGACATCTATGCCGTACGATTTCATTTCATCAATTAAAGCTTTTACAGCAGCCTTGTGATGTAGATTCGTCGGTTGCCATCGGTCGTCGTTTCTTGTAATGGCACTGTCGCATAAACGAGTCTTCCAATCCTAAAGGATAATTGAAACAGTAATGTAAAGTAATATAAGTAACCATTATTATTATATTATAACTAGCAAACCCGACGAACTCCGTTTCGCCGCCAGATGGTTTCGTGAAAAAGATGAAGAAATTGTTTGTTTGTTTTATATTTGAAAAGGAAACATTTGATTTTATTATACAACAGTAATAAATTTATTTCGATTACAAAAATGAAGTGTTTTTTAGTTGAACTTCTCTAAGTAAATGAAAGTGAATCCGCAAATTATCCGTTTTATTGAAGTGCTCTTTGGTAAACCACATTTTTTGTTTTGTGGTCGGACGTTAACACAAACAAAGCGGATGGCTTTCAAACTCGTGAACAGGCAACGTATAACTGCCCATGTGAAAAACAATGATTTTCTAAATAATCTATTTGAAATTTATCCCGCAAACACTAAGCTATTGGCCTTGCGACTTGTTATTGCGAACGCAAGGCGAACTGGAAATTGCAATCGTTTGAAGTCAAACGAAAGACCAGTCGGAATCATTGGTATGTCACCAAATCGCCAGCAATTTTTGATTGAATGGTGAAATTCAGCGCGTGTACATCGTTATTCTTTGCGGCAAAAATTGCTCGTTGACTTAACCAAGCATAATTCTGATAATTCTCACTCATGTCATTACTCGAATTTTTAATTACGGTGCGTGAAATTCCAGCAAGTTGCATTAGGGCACGACGCCATTCGCATCTAATTTTTTTTTAAAACCTAGCGGAGCCCGAGACCTTTCCAACGAATGCATAATCGTCGAAATCGGTTCGCGCGTTCTGGAGTTATATCGTCAGGAAGGAAAACCCGACTTATTTCTATATATATGTAGATTATTTACTTGTAACGCTTTCTCCACTGGAATCCTCAACAAGCCTTCCAACCTGTACCCTAGGTCTAAGCCTAATTCTGTGAGTTGACTGCAAGGTTTTCTAACAGCATCGACACAGACTGCAATATCTTGTAAAGGAGTTCCTGGTGACATCCAATGTTTCACTAGGTGACTTATGAAGACTCCTAACTCCACACCGGTCCATACAACAAAAGCTAAAAAATAAATAAAAATTATAATATATATATATATACAGTAGAATCCGATTAGTCGGATATATTGACAACCACTTAATATGACGTAATCGCACTAAGAATTTGGTTTGCATATAAAATTCTTTAAAAAAACAGTTGTCTAGTCGGATATATTGACATCGCTTACATTGACATGTCGCTTATAATGACCCATTTTTACAAAAAAATATGTAAAAATATGTAAAAATATGAAAACAATTGCTATGTCTTTTGTGCACAATAGCACCAGGAACTGTTTTTACAATAAAATTATGTAAACAAATCAATCAAAAATTACTGTTTACTTACATTAAAAAATCACATTTGCATGTTTATGGTTAAAGTAGACCAATTATTAATGGTCCACCACGGATATCTCGTAAACAAATAAAACTACTTTTTTTTTTAACAAAAATATTTGATAAAGTAGAGGGCAAAAAATGTATAAATTTATAACCAGCCATCATCTAGCTTAATTCTTATGACTTTGCTATCAGAAGATAAGCAGCACATGAGTGGGATAAAAAGGACCAGCAGAACCTTTATTTTGGCGAAGGTGTAAGCAATAAAATAGTAAAATTTAAAAAAAAGTAATTTTTCCGGAGATTAATTAAATAAATTGTTATTCCGGCTCGTCTGATGAATATTTTTGACCAATAGCAGATCAATGTAATATACTGTGTTATCTTTGTAACAAATGTACCCACAGAATTAATATTTTGCATTGGTTCAATAAAGTAGCGTAAAATCCAATAGAATAAATTGCATCTGTTTGCACCCTGGTTGCCCCACTTTACCCCGTATGCGAGGTAAAATGGGTCAGATACCAAATTTTAAAAAAATAGTAAAAAAATATTATTTATATAATTAAATAATTATTAATTTATGTGAATTTTTTTCTGTACATAGTTCGATAGATGCTTGTTTGATGTGTGTTATGTGTTGCAAGGTTCATTGGGTTTAGACAGTATTGGGTTTTGACTGAAAGTCAAATTGGACCTGGCCCTGCCCTACCCTATGTCAATTTTATTTTATATTAAATTTTAATATGTGTCAATTTTATTTTATATTAAATTTTAATGTGTCATTTTTATTTTTAATTAAATTGTATGTATAGGCTTTTCTTTTAAATTACTAAAACATGTGACGTTTTTTCATATTAAATTAGTTTTTCTTCAGTAAGCTTTGTACGACGACCGGTTAATATGGCGAGATTTCGGCGTCCCTTCGATGTCATACTAAGCGGATTCTACTGTATATATATACATATATATATATATATATATATATATATATATATATATATATATGTATGTATTTAAGGATATAAATTCTATTTACCACTGAAGCATGATTTCTCGTTAGCGAATAATTTCAAGAATTCCCGACAGACTTCGGCAATATCACAAAAGAAGAGTTCAGCAAGTTTAGGCACAGGACTCGACATCAGGCCAATATGAGCATGGGGTCCTTCACGTCTTGCCTGCCTTTGTCCAGCTCGTAGGGCGTTACTTGATACTTTTAGGAAAAGATCACAAGCCTATGGAAATACAAATCAAAAATTATAGTCAACTAGTGACAAATTAATTAAATTATTAATTAACAAAAAAATTAAGACACATTTCTGAAACTTCCCGTACCGTAATTAAACATTCAAAGAATAAAAATAATCAGTCAACAAAAATGTCTATGAATAAAAGTTATAAAAACGAGAATTTTCATCATTTGTTCCTTGTAGACAGAATGTGAAAACTTATTAGATTAGACAACGTTGTTTATACATGTTTGAATGAAATATATATAAACAAAATCTAATTAAGCGTACTTATTGTTAAAATAAATATATTTTATTTTAAATGCATAAATTTATCGTTCGCGAAATATATGCACTGAGTTAACAATTTGAAATAGTATCAACTATACAAACATAAAAAGTATTATAAAAATTAAAAAAAAAATACATACATGGCATTCGAACCCGACCAGTTTTGACTTTCTTATCTACTAATGCTAACCAACTCAGCTATAACGACATGCTCACGCGCAACGCTATGAGCGGATATCTAAATTCTAATCGAAATTTCTGCACTTTTTGCTATGTATCTTCAGAACGGCTAGACCTGCCTATACCAAAACCTAATCTGCACGTCTCCACATCAATACGAATCGAATGTTTTTTGAATTATTCAAATCGGTTGATCGGTGTCTCCGAAATCGTCGACGAAAATTTGTATCTGCACGCATACACACACATACACACATACACACATACATACATACACACATATACATCAATTTTTAAATAAAACATATTTGAATATATAAGCATATTTATATATAAAAGATCAGTATAAAACTTTTATAAGTATCGGAAATTAAATAAATTGCCGATTATAAAATATTTATTCTTTAATACAGTGATAAATTTTATAAATTTATCTGAACAAACCTTTACATTGCCAAAACAAATGATCCAACAAAACTCAACGTCAATTATTATTTTTTTTCCTCGCTTACTAAAATTGACGCGACCTGCCAATCTCCCACATGAGTAAAAAAGCCACATCAATATTTATATTAAAATTTGCAATTCTTATCGAATTACATTATTTTTATTTATAATTCAATTCAAATTAATTGTAAGAAATATTTTATCCATAGAGTTGATTGAGCAATAGGTTAATATTGAAATATGATGGATTTCATTACCAAAGATGTTGAATAAAAATTATTTTATATTTCATGATTGGTTAAAAAATTTATTTGCATCGTTGGAAAGGTCTCGGACTCCGCAAGGTTTATAGCAAAAAAAATTGAAAAAAGGTTAAAAAAAAGCGATATTTCTTTTTTCACATAAAGCGTCATCTCTGATACTTAGCATGTACTACAAACTAATACTTTTCGTTTGACTGCTACTCATTTGTTTGACAGCTACTCATTGTTCTCTGCTCAGTTAATTTCATGTGACAAACGGGCATTGTGTTCTCTGTGAAATTGTGCAAAAATAGTAAAAAATATAAGTTATTTGTTTCCTTTCCTAACATTTCAATTGGTAACCATCAAATCAATCACGTGCATTGTCCAAATTTTTATTCAATTTCAACAGCAGGCAATTTTTTTCTTCATCTTTTAATCACCAAACGAAATGTTACATAAAATGAAACCATCTGGTGGTAAAACGGAGTTTGCCCGGTTTGCTAGTATGTATATATATATATAAAACAGAATATTTATATTACCTGAGATGCATGATTAAGTTGTACTAATAATTTAACAGTGTTCCTAGAAGCTCTTAAGGCAGCACATAAGGATCTTCCTTGGGGAACTGCCAGCTCTGACATCAATACATTGGCTAAGGAGGCTTTACCATTTTCAATCTGGAAAAGATAAAAATTCAGATGTACCAAATTACTTTTATGTTTAAACTTTAACTAGTTTAATTTAATAATTTGACTCACTACTCACTTTTGTTTTTAGTTCGCCCAATGTCGGACAGTTTTGTTCGTTAGTTTTAATATATTCTTGTGTTTGTTGAAGTAATACTAAGGCATCATCAAAATGACGTTGGGCAACTAATACTTGCAATTCGTCAGGCGATTGCATTACCCAATCGGGGTGTACTGGCTTTTCTATTTCGTTTAAGGAATCTAAAATAGTAAAACATAATAAATAAATAAATTAGGATACATAAATATATATATATATATATATATATATATAAGATAACCAAAGTGCAGCCCTGCATATATATATATGTATATATATATATATATATATATATATATATATATATATTTTAAATGGTAGAGTCTTGGATTTGTGAATATTTTGTAGAGTTTCGAACAAGAATCCAAAAAGTAATAAAAAACAAAAAAGTAATAAAAAACAAAATAAGTTTTTTAATAAACTATTTCTTTATTTATTTATTTACTGTCGACGTTTCGGAACTAGGTACGTTCCATCTTCAGGACATCTGTTAAGAAACATGATCTCGATAAGATTAAAGCAAACAATATGTTTAAGAAAAGAAAATGGATTTTTTAATTAACAAAATAGTTGAAAATTTAATGTACAGAAATATGACAATATGATCAAAATGAAAATGATAAAAATAAATGAGTGGATTATATAACAGGATATTAAAAATGATAAAAAATTTTGAAAGTTTTAAGTAAAAGTTAACGAAAAAATTGAATTAAATACCTGTATGATTGAATATACGTTAGCACTTTTTCACTAAAAAAGATTTTATCAAAAAATGAATTTATGAGTTACTTTTCAGCCGAATAGGTAAATTTTGTAAACAAAATTACTATAAGTTCTGTCTTTTTTAAGTTTATTATTTGAAAACAAACAATATTATTCTCTCGATGTTATGAGATCGGCTGTTGGTAATAAACTGAATCTGAGTAACGCGCACACGTGTAACCACTTCAGAATTGTAAGGATGTGTGTGTGTGTGTCTTTTTATATATACCTACCGGGTCGGTCCTACCTTGAATGTGATGCATGCAAAAAATGCGGGCGCACGCCTTAGTGGGCGCCAAAACGAGATTCGAAAATAAAATTCTCAATATAGTTTTTTTTTCAATATAATTCAAGAAACATATATTTTCTTTGCATTTTTCACTAATTTTTGAGCAATATTTAAGATGCAGTTTTGGATATTTTAAATAATGAAAAATCACAGTAAAATAATTCAACATAAAGCACCATGATTTGTTTAATAGAATAAATCGCATAAAATCTCCAAAATAAATAAGTAAAATTTTTCAAAAATATTATTTCAAGCAATAATAAACATACTGAAATGTTTGGATGTCCTAAAAAGTTTGGATTGAAAATAAGAATTTAGAAGTACTTTGGTAGTGATTATGAAGAACCAGCGAATCGTCACGATATTCTAAATAAATTTAAAATCAATGTGCTTTTATATTATATATCTAATTTTTTGTGTACTAAATCCAGAGTTATTAAATTTAAAAAGAAATAACGTAAATATTCTTAAAATTTTAATGATAAACTGTTAAAACAGTTAAAATAATAAGGGGGGGGGAGGCGCTAGAAAAAAAATTGCATGCGGGCGCTGAGGACCCCAGGACCGCCCCTGTATATATATATATATATATATATATATATATATATATGTATATGTCTATTATCTCACTTGTACTATATGAACTCTGCTCATCACTGATACTCCGATCAATTGACTTCAGATCCTTTTTCCTGGGCGGCCTCTTTGTCTCCTCAACATTTGTCTCGGTGTGTTGCACTTTTTTGGATTTCTCAAACTTTTCAAGCCACTCGCTTTTGCTTGTCGGATTACTACATTGTAGAACTCTGGTATCGGGAAAGACTAGTAATTTAAATGCATTTTGTACTGGCCCTAAATCTCTAGCATTAACTACGGCTAATGTTCCTATGGAGTAAATTACATCGAACTGGAAACGCTTGGGACCGCGTCTGAAAAAAATAATAAATATAATAGAATTAAGATGTTTGTTTAGATTATGAACTTTATCACTATGCGAGGTTACATTACATAAGTGAGACGTAACATTAACGTAACATTATGTTACGTTTATGTTCGCAAGTGTTCATTGAAAATACAACAAATACTGAATCCATTTTTTTATATTCATCGTTGTAGTTTAGTTAATTGATATAATTGATATATATTATTATATATCAAATGAAAGCTAATAAAATTATCTATAAATGTGCATAACAATTCATATAACGCGTCTAGCAAAATTTTATACAATTTATTTTTAAACTTCGAAATCAAAATGGCGTGTCTATAACATTAGTTTCAGAGGTTGCGGTTTTTTTATATCCACGTTATATTATACATGATATATTATATTTTATTATATATCAAATGAAAGCGAATAAAATTATCTATAAATGTGGATAACAATTTATATAACATTTCTAACAAAATTTTATACAATTTTTTTTAAACGTTGAAATCAAAATGGCGTGCCTATATAACATTAGTTTCAGCAGTTTCGGTGTTTGATATGATATCCATGTTTATTTTATTATAAAGAATTAAAAATATAACAACAGTATTATATATTGTTAAAAACCTAATAAAATCGTCCACAAATCTGTATATAACATTTGAAAATTATTTAGGAAAAGTCTGTGAAGTTTAAAATTTACTATCTAGTTATAAGCCATTAATTAGAGATTTGATTGGTTACATATTTTCATTTTTGGCAATATTGTAATAAAATTTATCAATGTATCATTATATATCATTTAAAAGTCAATAAAATTATCTATAAATCTGTATATAACAACTTGTAAATGTTAGAACAAAATTATATCAAAACAATTTATTAAACTTTGCAATTAAAATCTTTGTCAAGCTCCTACTTTGTTTTAGCTTCAACGCTTTGATTTATAATTACATTTATTTGATTGTACTTTAATTAAAAATATTATTATTATTATTATATACAATTAGAAAGCTAATTAAATTATCTATAAATCGGTGTATAATAATTCATAACGTTTCTAACAAATTTATATTAAAAAAAAAGTTTGAACTTTGAAATAAAAATGGCGTCTATAATATTAGTTACATCGGTTACGGTTTTTATATCCATGTTTATTTTAATATAAATAATTAAAAATATAGCAATAGTATTATATATTGTTGGAAAGCTAATAAAATTGTCTACAAAATTCTATATAACGTTTAATAACTTTTCGAACAAAATTAAATATAAAAAATATGTAAAGTTTAAAATTTAGTATCAAGTTACTAACCATTGGTGGATTTCATTAGTTATATTTTTTTATATTCAGCATTATTATGGCAAAATTTATTTATATTTATATGTATTATAATATGTCATTCAAAAGTCAATAAAATTATCTATAAATCTGTATATAACAACTTGTAACTGTTAGAACAAAATTATATAAAATAATTCATCAAACTTAGCAATAAAAATCTTTGTCATGCTCCCCCATTGTTTTAGCTTCAATGCTTTGGTTTATAATTATATTTATTTTGTTATACTTAATTTAAAAATATTATTATAATATATCATTAGAAAGCTAATTAAATTATCTATAAATCTGTATATAAAATTTTGTAACTGTTAGAACAAAATTATATAAAAATAATTCATCAAACTTAGCAATAAAAATCTTTGTCATGCTCCCACATTGTTTTAGCTTCAATGCTTTGGTTTATAATTATATTTATTTTGTTATACTTAATTTAAAAATATTATTATTATTATTATATATTATTAGAAAGACAATTAACAAGAAAAAATAGTTAAACTTTATAAAATTAGCAAATAAGTTTTCCTGCTAAAAACAAACTTCACCTTCTATTATTATTATTATTATTATTTGCTTTTATTTTATATTAAATCATCATACTACAGATATCATTTTAATAAAAATACTATCCTTTATTTTGTACTCTTTTTGTTTAAATTTATGTTATTGTTCGTTATTGTTACTTGATGTTAAATTAATTAGCAGTTGTAACAAATATTGTAATTAAAGAAAAAAAACGTCAATAAGTTAGTAATAAATATAAATGAATATAAATAATAAATTTTCTTTTACCTTGATGGCATCCATGTAGCAACTAAAAGTATGTCATTAAACAGAAATAAATGTACACGTCTCAAAGGCCCATGATTCAGTGGCTCTAATTCCAATAAATCCCCTTCGTGCAGAAGAACTCTATCAGGGACTGAATCTAATTCTGTAGTTAGGCCTTCAACTCGATTAATAACTGATTGGATATCATTTTTGTTCTTTTCTTCTACTGATATGGTATCTTCATTCTCTGTAAAAGATAAATTAGATAGAAATAATATGTATATATATATATATATATATATATATATGTATATATAGGTAATATATATTATTACCTTTATCATTTTTATCGCCTTGACTGAATGGATCCCTCGTTTTACCAGTAATAGATGAAGTGGCTATGGCAGATAAAAGAACTTTTTGTTCTCCTAATAAATGTGATAGTTGATACATTTCAGATTCCAAATCTGCATTTTGATATACAAATTAAGGATAGTATATATTGTTAAGCCTTATTTTGAAATCCTTTAATATCATTCTAGAATTCTTTTGGAATATTTTATAAATTATAATTATTTATTTTTAAGTGGACACTGGACGCAGGTACATATATTTTTTTTACAATAGCCTAAGTAACTTTTTGTTCTTTCAATTATTTTCTTATTATAAATTTATACTTTCATTTTAAAAAAAATTCAATTTACAAACAGATGTTCAATATTTTAAAAAAAATTCAATTTACAAACAGATGTTCAATATTTAGTATAAAAATCTGCATTAATATGGATTATAGGATCTTTATAAATTATAATATAATTAGTATAATATAGTAGTTTATATTTGTAAGCTACCCCTTCCAGACAGAGTTTTTAATATTTATATTTATATTTATATTTTAAATATATTTATATTTATATTTTAATTTATATTTATATTATTTATTATATTTATAAGTATATTTATATTTATAAGTATATTTATATTTATATTTATATTTATATGTATGTTATCTATTATATTTATAAGTATATTTATATTTATGCATTTTTGCGATTTTTATGTTATATTTTAAGTTTGAAGGTTAGTATACATAAAGTCGTGATAATAGGCACCTCAACCAGTCGTAAAGAAACTTAGTTGCTCAAATAATTTAATAAATTTAATGTTGTCATTTAACATTTAACTATGAATAACAGATTACATCAGATTTTTTAAAGTGTAGTAAATGTAAAAAGGGAGTGAAATGACAAAGACATTATCAAAATATAATTAGTGCCTTAACATATATAATTTATTAACCACTTAATGCACACATTTTTTGTAAATGAACTAGCAACAGATCATCATATAAGAAATTGACAAAAACATGTTCGAGTGTAGTTTAGTTTATAATAACAAACAAAGGAATCGACACACAAACCCACAAAACATGTTGATGTATGTAAAAAAAGGTTGTACTTGAAGTATTAAATTTTTTGAAAATTTTCACATTAATATGTATAGTAAGATATAATATTTTTGGTAATCCCATAGTCCAACAAGTTGTAATAAGTTTAAAAAATCCTATGAAGAACTGAGTTCATTGGGTGGTTAATTGATATGATTAATTAATATGATTTAGATAGTAAAGTAAATTATAAGAGTAGTTCAACACTACTATATGGAATATTTAGCAAATTGATCTTATAGATGTATGTATCAGTATAAAAAAATTGTTATGCCAAATGTTTCAAATGATTCGAGCAGTATAAAAAATAAAGCCAGTTCTCTATGAAATATTTGAAAGTTATGAATATTCTGGTAGATTTTACATAACTACAAAACCCTTCTACAATAGTTACTACTATGTCATTTATCCAAAGGATACGTGAAATCTCTTTAGCAGTTTCAATAAACTGCATATAGTTCTGGTAAACATTTTTCTTCAACGAATTAGCAGTTTCATCACTCAAAGCCTGTATTTTAACCTTCTCCTGTTGCAATTCCTGTCCACCGATGCATTTTTGCGTTAATTCTTTAACATCTGAAACAAAAATTTGCACAAAATCAAAAAAACACTTCTCACAATCTTTTAATTATGGTTATATTTACATTCGTCCGCATTGAAGTCGTGTGAGTTGAATTTTTCTATGAATTCGTTCATTTTTAATGGATTTGTGTACTTAAAAATACATTATGATAAATTAATTCTACATAGTTATCACTAAGAGGAGTATTGCTTAAACGTCAAACTTATAAATAGAGAGGTGACAGATGACAGAAACGTCAAACGAGTGACAGCTGTCAAAAACATGGCTGACCACAGTGAAGTTGGTGAGTTGGTTTGACAGTTGATGAAAGATTCAAATTTGAATTATTAAAATAATGATAATATTTATATATACATAAATAAAAATATTAAAATAAAGCTAAACGTTTTTATCTCTTCTTACATTGACATTTTAGCAATAGAAGAGTAAAAGTATAATTATATTTTATATTTTACCTCTTTTAAATATTTTTTTTACTATTGGTAATTGGAGTGTGATTTTGATAACAAATGTTTTTAAAAATATAACATAGATAAACAAGTATAAATATAATTTAAATATAATTAATTGTTATATATTAATATTCAAAAAATTATAAAACTATATAACTATGAAATGAAGAGCATCTCATATAGTAGTAATAATAATTATTAAAAATATATTAATATTTAAGACATTTTACAATCTTGTATATATATATATATATATATAAATAAATAAATAATAATCTCATATTTTGTAATGATGTATGTAAATATACTCCTCCTAAACGATTATTCGGATTTTGATAAATCTTTCTAAAGTTTGTTAAGGAAATTTTTTAACATGTATGTGATTATAAAAATATAGTAATATTTTAGAAATAAATAGTAAAAATTGCAAAACGACATGTCATTGTTTCTTATTGAAAATATTTCAGACATTGTTTAGCATTGAAAACAAATAAGAACTTTCACCTGCCAAAAATTTCAATTCACTTATGAGCCTAGACAATATTAGAATATGTAGAATAAATTCATGATTATGAATTAGAAAAATGTATTGTCTATATTATTATTGCCAAAAAGCAGCTGAAGATGTGACAGAAATTAAAATAATATAATTTACAGTATATGTATGGCAGATTGGATGATACACATATGAATAGGATTTGAATTATATGAGCAGTTCATGATCACAAAAAGTTCTTATAAATGTAAGTGAAAATATATTAATTATTCTACACTCATACATATGATTAAATAAATACAATATATACACATATACACCTTTCTTTACATATATAGTAATTGTTTTAATATGTATTATGTATATATATATATATATATATATATATATATATATATACATAATACATATTAAAACAATTACAAAAAATTATAATTAAAATAAAAAAATAAAATTACAAAATTAAGACCTTAGACCCTAATAAGCAGATCAAATGTTTAAAAACTTCATTTGAGGTAATAATATATTAATAAATAATTAAAAGTGTTTACACTACATATGAATAAAGGTATAAATTTAAAAAATATATACATACACGCATAGATATACATAAAAATACGTTTTAATAAATAAAAAAAAATAGAATTACATTTTTAAAAAAATATAAATCATAATATATATTTAAGTGAACAAATAATTATATAAATATATAAATATATATCATTCATCAGAATACAAATAAAATTATTATCAAAAATTATGTTTACAAAATTTTAAATTAATAAATAATAATAAATTGATTTAAATAATAAGTTAAAATTAAAATTAATATAATACATTTACTAAAACTTAGGTAAATAAATATATAAATATAAAAAAATATTTATCAAAATACATTTATTAATTATATTAATATAAAAATAAGCAATACTCGACAAATTGCAAACAAATAAAATATATAATGACCAGAATAATTAATACAAGAAAACTAATAAGTTGAGAAAAATATAAATATAGAACAATATATATTATAAAAATAAAATAATACAAAAATAAATATTAAATCCTTTGCACGTGTATATGTCACTGAATTGCTCCTAAACGGCTGGACCAATTTTGACTAAACTTTTTGTCAAAGTCCTAATAGATTTATAGAAAGTAAAGAATCAAAAACAAATAATAATCATTTAGCAATAAAGAAAAAATAGCAAAAAATAGCTCATAATTGTTTATCATTTAAAGTTTTGTTTAAATATCAATTCATTTAAAAAGTTGTACATAAATTCTGATATATGTTAGTTGTATAATATATATATATATATATATATATATATATATATATATAGAATTATTACAGCTTAACATTTATCTATTAATGTTTAAAACATCAAAATGCAAATGAGTCTCGACTTCGCAATGAAGGCCCCATTTCAGGGTTCAGGTGCAAAAGTGACCCCCATTTGAATTTATGTCGTGTCACTGTCATATTTTTTATATTATTGTAGCACTTTGGAATTTTAAATGCGGGTCAAATAATAAACGATAAAGTATTGATATGTATATATATACATATTCACAAAACTAATAAAAAATGCATATTTTAGAATTTACTGCAATTTACTAGTTTACTGTGTATTTTTCAGCAATTGTGTATTTTTCTCTGGTTATATATCGATGTCATTTTTTTATATATAATTGCCAGAAGATGTACCATATGTCTATGTAGAATAGTTGTAAATACATAACAATTTACTAGTTATGACTATTCAAAAATTTAAATTTTTTGAATAGTTTTGAAAAAATCTAAAATTTTCACCAAAATCATTGTTTTCTTAATTTTTCCAAAAATCGTTTATGCAAAAATTCTGAATAAAAATATGTACCTACTTTTTAGTTAATTTTAAACGTAATATTTGTTGAAAGATTTTCAAACAAAACCAATTTTTCAGAATGTACAAAAGAACGATCAAGCTGTTGAAAATCATCTAAAAATGAAGTAACAATTTTTTATTTTGAAAGTCAATATTTTAACAATTTTCACATTACACATTGAAGTTTATAATAAATTCATTATTATTCATCAAATATATTTAACACATGAAAACTAATTTAAGAATTTTAATTAATCTAGTATACGTTTCGAGTTCCGATTTGATTCATCCTTAGTTAGTGCAATATAGTGGACTCCTGAGAAAAATTGTTACTTTATATATATATATATATATATATATATATATATATATATATACACGTGTATATTAATATTCAAAATTATTAGAACCTATCCTCGCATAATGAACAATAGACTAATTTAATAGATACAATTTAATATTATAATTAATAAACAATTACTATTGTGCCATTTAAAAAAATCATAAAGATGAAATCGCACTCATAATTCAAGACAGTTTCAAACTACCATCTGAATCAAAAACATTCTTTAATAAAATAATTTTTATTAACAACCCTCAGTGAAATTATCCGAAGGATGCACATTGATTAATAAGTTGTAGTGACTAAAGATCTATAAAAAATATTAATAATAAATAAAATTGTGTGATTAGTGATAAAAATGATTGTGCCGACTATTCCACAGTTTTTCAAAGATAAAGAGATTTTTATCACTGGAGGCAGCGGTAGGTACATAAATATATATAATAGTAAAGAGAAAATTCAAATCAGGTCTTAAATATACTTTACATTTTACAAAGTCTTACATATTTCTCGAGATACTATTTAGTGCCTAAAAAACTATATCTTTAAAAAATAGCAAACAATGACAAAAAGACGTGCATAATATATACTATATTGTACTAGAAATCGGTCAACCTGAAACGAAGGCTAGATCCAGGTTGATGTCAAAATCTGCGTACCTGTATCTCAGGGAAAACCCAATATTAACTGGAATTTTGTCAGTTAATTCATAACTTAATATTGTTATTCTCATATTTATTATTATTATTTCATTTATTATGCACGTCTTTTGTTCTACGTGTAAGTTATAGTAATCGCGAAAAAATCGAAAATAATCTTTTTTATACATATTTACGTTTCAGGTGTCTGAACATTTTAGCATACCTTAGAAAACTGAACGTATGTGTGTGTGCATGTGTGTGCGGATACAAATTTTCGTCGACGACTTCAGGAACACGGTTCAACCAATTTGATTAAAAAAAACATTCAATTCCTATTGATAGAGATACGTGCTGATTAGTTTTTGGCAAAGGCAGGTTAAGCCGTTTTAGAGATACGGGACAAAAAATGCCAAAAATGTGAAATCAGTTTTTAAGAGAACAGAGCGTCCGATTTCAATATTTCAAATACATTTTTTACTAGTCTTGAAAAAATAAAAATTTAATTAAATATATGAGAAGGCAGGTCTAGCGGTTTCGGAGATCTAGTAAAAAAATTTAAAAAAAATCCATTTGGCGGTCAAAAATGATCATTAGACATATGCACATCAAATTATTAGATATTTTATAGAAGCTTCAATAATAAGTATAAATTTTGTTTACATTTTTATGGGATCCGTAACATCGTTTGTCTGAGACTGCGACGCGGCGCTTACGCGCTTCGATATTTCGTCTCTATGCAAATAAAGCAGCGAGATTGCTTTGAAAACAAATTTCCAAAATATAATTTTGTTTCATCAAAAAGTCTCTTCTTGTAGTACGCGGCATACATAATCACGTCATAGTTCATTTTTGTTATTATTTTTGTATTACTGTTTTTATTTTATTTTTATTTTAACTTTTTTCATTTTATATTCAATTTATTGCTTTTTTTTGTATTTTTGTATTTTTTGTTGCTCATATCAATTTTGTAAATAAGACATTAAAGTCTTGATTAACAAAAATAAATTGTAACAAAAAAAAAAAAAAAAGTCTCTTCTTAAAAAAGTCTTTCTTTATTTTAAAATTTCTCAGAAATCTAATTTTTTCAAAGTTTAAAGAAAAATTTTAATCTTTTTTAAAAAATTTAATTTTTGTTTCTGAAAGTTCCAGGAATTTGCCTTAAGGCGCGATGCTACTAGTTGTGGTATTTCTGTTATAAACGCACGGAAGACTTAAACATTTTTTTTGAATCCAACTAAGTTATTTTTCTATTTTAACTTCTCCAAGAACAAGTTTTACCAGAAAATCTAAGTTGCAAAATTTTTCATATCGGAATATTTATGCAATTCACATTTAGGCAAAATGCCACTTACACCTAATTTAATTCCAGGTTTTATAGGAAAAGTTCTATTAGAGAAGATTTTAAGGAGTTGTCCCGACTTCAAAGTCATCTATTTGCTTCTGAGAGAGAAAAAGGGCAAACCGATTGTGGAGCGACTCGAGGACATTTTACAAAATGAGGTAACACTAGATAATAATTATTGAAATCTGGCAACACTAAACTCTAATACTTGATATTATTTTATTTATTATCTTTTACAGTTATTTAATTTGGCACGAGAAAAAAATCCCAAAGTATTTAAAAAAGTGGTGGCTGTATCTGGTGACGTCAGTCAACTTCAATTGGGTTTAAACGAATCTGACAAACAACTAGTACTCAGATCGGAAATTGTATTTCACGTAGCCGCCAGTGTCAGGTTGGTCAAATCATGATGTTTGATCCAAACAAAAATAATTTATCTTGTGCAATTGTTAGATTCGACGATCCCTTAAGAAAGGCAACCATGATGAACACTCGAGGAACCCGTGAAATTATGGATCTAATGTTGCAAATGCCAAATTTGGTGGTTGGTGTCCACGTCTCGACTACTTATTGCAACACTGATAAAGACACCATAGAGGAAAAAGTGTACAGAGACCACGGAGATTGGAGGGAAGCCATCAGACTGGCTGAAAACTATAATGATGACTATAAATTTGCAAGCCTCACCGAAAAGTAAGTAGTATCAGGTCCCAAAACATAAAAAGCTAATTATCAGAATATATGTGTTTTGGTTAATTTTAGATGTCTAGGTGGATTAAAGAATACATATCTGTACACCAAACATCTAGCTGAAAATATTGTAGAAGACTACAGCGACAGACTGCCCTTGGTTTTATACAGACCAGGCATTGGTAAGTACACACTTCTGACAAATCACCATTCATAAATTTGTATGGTGTTATATTTTCATTTGCAGTCGTGTCTGCGTGGAAGGAACCAATACCAGGATGGGTTGACAATTTGAATGGGCCTATAGGTTTAAATGTAGCCGTTGGAAAAGGTAAATACTTAACAATACTAGTTGGTAACATGTTTTATTAATATTTTGTATCTATTCAGGTCTTTTAAGGGTGATGCATACTGACCCAAAAGTCGTACTGGACTACGCACCAGTAGATGTAATTGTCAAAGGCATCTTGGTCGCTGCTTGGAATAAAGTGAATCAAAGGTAACTTGCACCTATTCTATTTAATCACTGTCCGACTGTAATTTATCCTTTTGATATTTAGGGATCCACAAAAAAATCTACCTGTCTACAACTGTTCGGTTGGCGATAAATTTATTTTGACCCAAGAACACGCCTACGAAATCGGTATGGAAGTTAACTCGAAGACGCCTTATAGGACTTTCTGGTACCCAAGATGCACGTTTACCGAGAGTTGGATCAAATTTTGGTTATTGGTAAAACAGATTATGTAATATTAAACCACTGGACTTAGACAACTACGTTGTATCTAATTTATCTTGCAGTTTTTCTTCTACAACATTATACCAGGATCCATCCTGGACAGCCTTTTAAAAATCACAGGACACAAACCGATGTAAGTAAAAACTTTGGTGAAAACATACTTTGTTTATTATTTGCTAATTAATTTAATAATTTGATTAAGATTGATGAGGATTCTGCGAAAAGCCTATGTAGCCATTTTGGCAGTCGGATATTTTGCGACGAGGAATTGGAACTTCAAAAGTGATAACTTTTGGGATTTGCTGCACAATTTGTTACCCGAAGACAGGTGGGCAGAGTTTAACATATTATATGACAATATGAAAATTGAATTCGAAATTATCAATTGTTTTTCTAACAGAAATGATTTCGACTACGACATGAAAACCTTTGACGCCTATGAATTTGCATGGAATGGTAGGCTAGGTTCATCCAGGTATCTTTTGAAGGAGCCAGAAAATCCTGCCGAATACAAAAAGATATACAACAGGTAGAAAAATAAATATGAATGTTTATTCTATTCTATTAAATTTATGGTTTGTTTACTTCTAGGAATAAAATTCTGTACTACACAATAGTGTACGCACTTTTGGGCACTTTGGTCTACTTGGTATTCTCGTCCAGATGTTTCAAGTGTATCGTCAAGGAATACATTGTAGTCTAATCATATGTAAAAATTAAAATAAATTTGGTATAAATAAACGCATTAATAATTATTTAACAATATTTTAATATCAAATATTATGAATATTTAATAATAAATCTTATTCATTGCAAAGCCAAGAAAATAATTTTGCAGAGTGAAATTAACTTGTGGCTCATGGCATTGTGCCTTAAGGCAAATTGCTGGAACTTTCCGTACCAAAAATTAAAATTTTGAAAAAACCTTTAAAATTTTTTGAAACCGTTGAAAAAAAATAGATTTTTGAGAATTTTGAAATTTTTATAAAAATCGTTTTTTTTTTGAAAAATTAGTTTTTTTTATATTTAGATTTTTTTATACATTGAATTTTTCTGAAAATTTTTAACTTTTTTCCAAAGCAATCGTGCTGCGTGGCTGTTTTAGAGAATAAATTTCGAAGCGCGTAAGCGACGCATCGCTGTCTTACAGATAAACATTGACGCCGTAATGTAAACAAAATTCATACATATTATTAAAATCTCTAAAAAAATATCTGATAATTTGATGTGCATATGTCTAATGATCATTTTTGATCGCAAAATGTAAACGGTACTTCATTATGTCAATACAAACAAAATGTTTTTTGAATTGTTCAAATCGGACGCTCCGTTCTCTCGAAAACTGAATTTTAATTTTTGGCTCTCTTTGTCTCGTATCTTCGAAACGGCTGGAACTGCCTTTGCCAAAAACTAATGAGCACATCTCCTTACCAATAGGAATCGAATGTTTTTTGAACAATTCAAATCGGTTGATCCGTGTTCCCGAAATCGTCGACGAAAAATTGTATCCGCACATACATACACACACATACATCCATTTTTTCTGAAGTATGCCAAAATGTTCAGAAACCTTCGAAACGTAAAGATATACAAAAATTCATTTTCGATTTTTTTGCGATTACTATAACTTACCCTACGGAAAGTTAATAAAATAAAAAAACGGCCTGGCCGATCTACTACTCTAATCAGCACGATTGCAAATGATACTTTCGGAAAGTTTTTGAATTTTCAAAAGCGTATCAGAATTTTTGGCAAAAACGTGGACGAAAATTTTTAAACTTTTCGCAAAAACATGGACTAAAATTTTTGAAATCGGTTTAACTATTCTTAACAAAACATCGACAAACGGTCAACTTTTGGCTACCATAGATGAACACACATACTTTATTTAATTTTGGCTTCAATTCAGATTCAGAATGACTCAAAACATGAAATTAGATAATCGGATTTTCGTCGATATCACGATTTTCAGAAAGTTAAAAAGAAAAAACTCTAAACTGAACAATTTTCAAATCAAAATAACACCTATTTATAGGTATAGATTTATTAATATTCAATAATATTAAAATCTATACAGAAGCCTTTCCTGTAAACAATATGCTAATAATAAAAATCTGTAAACATTTTAATATTAAAATTAATAAACTATCGCTTTGACCTATTGAAAAAAATCATAAAGATCAGAAATCGCACTCATGATTCCAAGACAGTTTTGAGCTACCATCTGAATCAAAAACATTCTATAATAGAATTATATTTATTAACGACCCTCAGTGAAATTATCAAAAAAAATGTACATTGTTTAAAAGATAGTGATAATATATATATAATAATAAAAATCAATAAATCTTGGTGATGAAAATGGTTGTGCCGACTATTCCACAGTTTTTCAAAGATAAAGAGATTTTTATCACTGGTGGCAGCGGTAGGTACATAAAATGTATATATGTATAAATGTATGTATATAATTTTGTTTATTATGTTTTATAATTTTTTTTATAGTTCTTAGTTAGAATCTTCTAAATTTTATGCAACATTAAAAAATCAGAAATTTTATTTACAAAGTTACTAATTACAAATTTGCGAGAAGTCTACAAGTACTACTATTGCAGAAGTATTAAAAGTATTTTCAGTGAGTGAGAAAAGTTATGTTCATTTTGAAAGTTTCGACACTGAATGTGTGTCATCAATCCAAGCCAAGAAAAATACAAATGTAAAACGGAAAAATAATTTAATTAAAGCACACAAAATGCAGAAAAAATACTGTACTTACTACTTGTATTACATTTCTAAATTTATGTAATCTGTTGAAACGCATCGTTCATAAAAATCTAATGGTTTGAAATATATAAAAAAAAAAGAGTGCGCGTAAGGATCACACGCGATTGAAGTAAAACTTTTAATATTGTATGAGTAGGCAATTAAGATAAAAATAAAAAAAACATCATATTTGAATTTTAAAAATCATCTTTTAATAATCATATAACATCAATAATAATAAGATCTCCTGAGCATCGGCACAGCTGTCCTACTGATATTAAGAGTTTGAATATGATGTGAAGCTTTCTTCCTAATTTTGTTACCTATCTTACCGGGAAATTCAAACCATAAACGTAGAAGTTCATCATTATCGCCACGTTCTATGTACACTAATTTTCCCACACAACCATTAGCTAAGCCATCACTTACATCGATATTAGTTGTTATTATGTAAAATTTATTCAGAACTAAAATTATTTCATACGGCAAACCCCCGGTATCAATAACCGATTTTTGTGAAACTGCTGACGAATGTATGATTGTTGATCTGTCGCATGGCAACCTACATAAATATCCGTGGCAGTAGATATTATTTTGTCTTCAACGAGATTCAATATAAATTTATTATATTCCATGGCACATTTATTCTCTAAGAAAAGTCTTATTCCATGAGGACATAATACAGCAACCTCTTCTTTTGTAAAAAAAACGTGATTCAATTAATGCAAGTTCATATAGGGTTTAGCGGGTTTAGCGCTCGACTTACGCATGACATGACGGGAGTGGATACTCGCGACATCAGCGCTTACGGCGTCGTAGTGTTCAACTACACGTTGGCATTTTCGTTGCATTTGTACGGATTTACACCCGTGTCGCGCCTAAAAATTTTTACACCCATATCGCGCCTAAAGAAGTTTTACTTCAAAAATTAGGGATCGATTCTGACGCATACAGACCAATGTTATTGTTCAAGGGACAAATTCGTTCTAAATATTGACAAAAGCCACGTGGTTGCTGTACAGTCAGGCGTTTTTCTCAGGTTGTCAGATGGAAAACCTGACCTAGAAACCGCATGAATGTCAGAAAAAACGATGTTAGATCTTTTTTCTAACAGGGCCTTTCTAACTCAGCTTCATAACATACGAGTGACGTTGCAGTCTATGTGTAAAACGCCTGAATGCACAGCAAACACCACGACATTTTGACAGTATGATTCAGTAGCAGAATGTATGAAAGTTGGAGTGTAACATGGCCTTGCCATAACATTGGTCTGTTTTGAGGCAGAATCGGCCCCTTAATTTAATATCGACCACAGAGTGCTGTATAACCTTCTTGATATAATTATTCTTATTTAGGTTTTTTAGGAAAAGTCCTGATAGAGAAGATTCTAAGGAGTTGTCCCGATTTCAAAGTGATCTATTTGCTTCTGAGGGAGAAAAAGGGCAAACCGATTGAGGAGCGACTCGAGGACATTTTACAAAATGAGGTAACACTAGATAATAATTATTGAAATCTGGCAACACTACACACTAATACTTGAGATAATTTTATTACTTTTACAGTTATTCAGTTTAGTCAAAGAAAAAACGCCTGAACTATTTAAAAAAGTGGTGGCAGTATCTGGTGACGTCAGTCAACTCCAATTAGGTCTAAACGAATCTGACAAACAATTAGTACTCAGGTCAGAAATTGTATTTCACGTAGCCGCCAATGTCAGGTAGGTCCAACAATAATATTTAACCCAAACAGAAATAATTTATCTTGTGCATTTGTTAGATTCGATGACCATTTAACAAAGGCAACTTTGATGAATACTCGAGGAACACGAGAAATTATGGAACTGATGTTACAAATGCCTAATTTGGTGGTTGGTGTCCACGTCTCGACTACTTATTGCAACACTGATAAAGACACCATAGAGGAAAAAGTGTACAGAGACCACGGAGATTGGAGGGAAGCCATCAGACTGGCTGAGGACTATGATGATGAATATAATATTGCATGCCTCACCGAAAAGTAAGAAGGGATCAGGTTCCAAAACACGAGAAACCAATTATCAAGATATATATGTTTTTAGTTATTTGCAGATGTCTTGGAAGATTAAGAAATACATATCTGTACACCAAACATTTGGCTGAAAATATTGTAGAAGACTACAGCGACAGACTGCCCTTGGTTTTATACAGACCAGGAATTGGTATGTAGCAACTTCTGACAAATTAACATTTATAAATTTATCTGGTGTTATATTTCCATTTGTAGTCGTATCTGCGTGGAAGGAACCAATACCAGGATGGGCCGATAATCTCAATGGACCTATAAGTTTTAATATTGCCGGTGCAAAAGGTAATTATTGGACGACATTAGTTGCTAATAGGGAATGCAATACCGATGGAAAATTTCAATACTGGTATTTCGGTAATTTTTCATTTTAAAACCGGAATACCGGTAAATTACCGGTATTTTTATTATCTTAAACAAACTTAAACAAAATTGAAAGTTACTAGTACAAATATAAAAAAATGTATATACAACTACATCTATATTCAACTAAACAATAAAAACAATAAAATAAACTAATAAGTTTATTTTTTAAAATAATAATTTAACAAAATTATATCCAATTTAGTTAATTCATTATCACTATCGAGTCTATCGAGCACTTTTCACCAAAAACAAACTTATGAGTAAGAAAGACCAAGAACTCACAAAAGATCATATTACATTATTATAATAAACTGTATTGTCTGTATCCGATGTGTTAAATTAGCATAATCTCCAATATTTAAAAAAAATATTGTTTCTACACTAATTTAAGATCGGATACTTTGTCGAGATAAATAATAAGTTACTATAATTGTTGAGTATTGTTATTTAAAACAATGTGATGCTTCTATAGTATTTTCAAACTTCGAAACATTTTCGAAAAATAATATTTCATAATTGTAATAAGAAGCAAAGATATTTAGTAATTATCATAATTATTATGTATGAGTTAGAAAAAAATAAAGATTACGCAGGGGTAATCTGTATGATATAAAATATTTTGGCGCAAATATCACTTAAAAAACCGTTACATTTTTACATAAGATGAAACAAACATCATTATCTATCAGTCCAATTCTATTTATTGTAACACAAAATGAAGCCTTTAGTATAGCAATAAATATTCAATTTATTGACGAGTTGAGGTAATATTTGACATTTGTTTATCCTACAGAATCACTTAAAGATATAGCTAATTATGCGATTATGGAATTTAACGATAAATTTGTTCCGAGAAATTTAAACTTTAGTGTATTATGTATCAAATAGCGCTTATGTAAAAATACCAAAAATACCAGTATTTTTAGGGTAAATACCGGTAAAAATACCGCCGAAAAATCGGGCAGTTTACCGGTAATTCGGTATACCGGTAAACCGGTGTTGCATTCCCTAGTTGCTAATAGCTTTTATGAATGTTTTTGTAACTATTTAGGTCTTCTAAGGGCGATGTACGCCGACCCAAAACTCATTTTGGACTACACACCAGTAGATGTAATTATCAAAGGCCTCCTGGTAGCAACTTGGAATAAAGTGACTAAGAGGTAATTTACAGCCTTACTACATAATCCAATTTTCATTTGTTTTTTTGGAATTTAGGGGTCCTCAAAAAAATCTACCGGTCTACAACTGTTCGGTTTACAATAAATTTGTGATAACCCAAGAACGCGCCTATCAAATCGGTATGAAAATGAATTCGAAGACGCCATTTAAGAATTTCTGGTACCCTAGATGCACGTTTACCGGCAGTTGGAAAAAATTTTGGTTATTGGTAAAACCGACTATGTTTCAAGTATATAGCATACTATAGACAACTATTCTGTATATATTTTCTCGCTTTCAGTTTTTCTTCTGCAACATAATACCAGGATTCATCCTGGACAGCCTTTTAAAAGTCACAGGACACAAACCAATGTAAGTAGAACCTTGGTGACTCAAAACTTTTTTTTACTTGGTAATAAATTCATTAATTTGATTAAGATTGATGAAGATTCTGCGAAAAATTTATGTTGCCATTTTGGCCTTAGGATATTTTGCGACAAGGAATTGGGACTTTAAAAGTGATAACTTTTGGAATTTGCTGCAAAATTTATTACCCGAAGACAGGTGAGTAGAGTTTAATATATCACGTGACAATATTATTATTAAATTTGAAATTATCAATTGTTTATACCACAGAAATGATTTCGACTACGACATGAAAACCTTTGACGCCTATGAATTTGCATGGAACTTCAGGATGGGATCAGCCAAGTATCTTCTGAAGGAACCAGAAAATCCTGCCGAATACAAAAAGATTTACAAGAGGTAAAAACAAAAAGTATTAAAAATATTCAAATAGTTAATTAAATTTATAAAATGTTTACTTCCAGAAATAAGATTCTGTACTACAGCATAGTTTACGCGCTTTTGGGCACTTCGGTCTACTTAGTATTTTCATCCAGATATTTAAAGTGTATCGTCAAGAAATACATTGCAATGTAGAAATATTCACAATCAAAATTAATTTATTTTCAACAAATTTTTAAACAAATAATTAAGAAATATAGTAATAGCTGAACCCGATGATGATCCAGATTTAAAAAAATTGATGCATAATTTGGATAAACATATCTTAGAAATTATTTAGTTTTATTTATAGGTTATGAAAAATATTATATAAGACATTATAAAAGAGATATTTTACTTCCAATTATGTAAATAAATAAAATAATGAACTAGCTTCCTGATACGTGTATTTGATCAACTTCATCGATAATAATTGGAATTAGCTATTTAGATAAAATGATCAATTGATTACTTCAAAAACTAGTGTTATGTACGGCATCGTGCCTTAAGGTAAATTGCTGGAACTTCCCGTACCGTAAGGAAATGTTCGAAGAATATTGAATGTTTTAAAATGGATTATTATAAATATTGTAACATTGTCTAATATTTATAGGAATTATATAAACTGAATTGCAAAGTTGAAGATATTTGTTTAAAGTATATTAGAATTTAAGTCAAAATTACAATTAAAATCAGAATTATTTTCTATATACAAAAAAAATATTTTTTGAAAAATAAAATTGAAACATTTTTTTTTACCAAAAGCAACTGTTTTGTCAACACAAGCTGAAACTTTTTCGAATTATTCAAAAACTGCCATTTTGTGCACATTTAGCTCTGTATCTCCGAAACCGCTGGACCTGCCTTTGCCAAAAACTAATCACCCCCCCCTCCCCGTCATTACAAATTGAATGTTTTTCGGATCATTCAAATCGGATACTCCGTTCACTCAAAAACTCGATTTATGCCAAAAACTAATCAGCACATCTCCTTATCAATAGGAATCGAATGTTTTTTGAACCATTCAAATCGGTTGATTCGTGCGCCCGCAAACGTGACTGGAAATTTGTATCCATACATACATATACACATACACATCCATTTTTTCTGAGGTATGCCAAAATATTCAGAAACCTTCAAAACGTCGAGAAATGCTAAATTTTAATTTCGATTTTTGGCCGATTACAATAACTTACCCTACGGGAAGTTAATAAAGATTCCGCTTTCATCAAAAACGATTTTCAATTGATGTCATTTTTATTGTATCTGCAATTGTATAAATTAAATTAATTTGTTAAACACATTTCATTTCATCCATTTCGGGTTACAAAAATGTATTTTATTTAAAGGTGAAAATTCTAGACTTTGATGAATTTTCATGATTCAACTGTTTATCGTAGGCCTATAATATTTTGATATGTTATTTCACACTACAAAATGTAACGTTATATAAAAAAAATTTTCATCAAAATTGCAAAAAAAAATCAACATTTAGCTAAGAAAAAATAGCTCGGCCGATCTTTACTAAAAACTAATCGACGCGACTCCCAATCAAAAACTTTCGAACAGTTTTTGAATTTTCAAAATAGATTTAAGATTGTGAAACGTAGACAATTTTTTTTTTACTTTCTTGGTAATTATACAGAAGCGGCTTGGCTGATCGTTGTGCAAAACTGGCAAACGTTAGTCATTATCGAATGGCTTTTAAATTTTTGAAAACGGTCCAGCCGTTCTTTTGAGAAAACTTCGACAGAAGATCAAAAAACTCTTTCCCTCTCACACATATACTTTTTCCAAATTTGGTCTCATTCCATTCAGAATGTTTTGAAACGTCGAGTAAACATGAAATTAGCAAATCGGATATTTTGGCGAAAACACAAGCTTGTCCTTTGATAAGTTAATATTAAACCAATAAACTTAAAATCAAATACACAATTACATATCTTGACCTTAAATAATATTTATTAATATACTAATGTTTTTTCTTTTGAATAAATAAATAATTAATATATCTCTATTTTTTTACCATCGGTCATCGATGACTTTTCTAATGCAAAACAATATTCTAATACCATATTATAGTCGTCACACAAATTAATGCACAATAATAAATTAATTTATCGCATAACATTAGATTGTTAATTTATGAAATAAACATTTGTTCGATAATATAATATTTGTGCATCGGAAATTGCAACAGACAGTTCTAGGCCGATCGCTAAACGACCAGGAGGAAAATTAGTGGACGACCAGGAAGAGAATTAGGACATTCTGCTCTGGATTGAAATTAACAGGAAGAAATTATGACAGATATAACTATTCCTGAATTTTTTAACGGGAAGCAAGTTTTTATAACTGGAGGAAGCGGTGAGTGGAATGGATATATATATATATATATATATATATATATATATATATATATATATTAGAGCGGTCCTTAAAATGGCCATTTTCGAATTTCCTTGCTCCCAGGGTCTCAAATGGTTCCAAATAGATAAAAAACAATTCTCTGAAAGTTTTAGCTCTTAATACTAACGTTTAGATAGAGCGCAATTCAATCAAAGTTTTGTATGAAAATAGCATGGAAAATTTTTCTATAATTTAAAAAATGTTTTTTTAGATGTAATTTAGCGAACAAATGAATGAATAAAACTCATTCATTTGTCGCTAAGTTATACCTAAAGCATTTTTTTTAAATTTTCAAAAAATTTTCCATGCTCTTTCCATACGAAGTTTGATTGAATTGCGCTCTATCTAAAGGTTAATATTAAGAGCTAAAACTTTCATAGAATTATTTTTTATCAATTTGGAACCATTTGAGCCCCTGGGAGCAAGGAAATTCGAAAATGCCCATTTTAAAGACCACCCTAATATATATATATATATATATATATATATATATATATATATATATATAAGATTTTCTCAACAGTTGTTAGTTTTGGCTTTGGTCTACTTGGTGAATTCCAAGGAAAAAGCAATAAATAAGCAAATAAGTAAAGAACTAGTGGTGCATGGCATTGTGCCTTAAGGCAAGTTGCCGGAACTTCCTGTACTGTAATAAAATATTCGAGAAATTTTGAACGTTTTCAAATATATTATTACACATACTGTAACTTTCATTATTTTTGCTATCTTGTTTGTTATATCTGAGCAAATCAAATGTAAATCATATATCATAAATCAATTTATCTCCAGAACATTAACAATTGTCATTTCATTTCGAATTCAATTTCAAAAAAAAAATATTTGCCCAATTTACACAAAATTGAACAAGTGCTCCCGTATAATCACTGTCTAAACGCATTTGCAAATAATTCTGTGCGACTTTTCACTTATACTGTGCTTAGCTTGGCGGCATTTTCACATTTTTCAATAGTTTTCTCACAAAACAGTCTAAACGCACTTGGGTAAACATTTGTACCAGAGTGGCGCTTAGACTGTGCTTAGTCTGAGTGATTTTTTGAATTTTTAATCCAAAATTACAAAAATATTTTATGGAAAATAAAAAAAGATGTATTATTTTTTTATCCTCAAAAGCAATTGTTTTGTCAATACAAGCAGAAAGTTTTTTAGATCATTCGATTTGGACGCTTAGTTCACTCAAAAACTGCCATTTTTTGCACATTTAGCTCTGTATCTTCGAAATGTCGGGACCCGTTTTTTCCAAAAACTAATTACCTCTTCTCCCAATCATTACGAATTGAATGTTTTTTAGATCATTCAAATTCGATACTCCATTTTCTCAAAAACTCGATTTGTATTTTCCGCACTCTTTGCTCCGTATCTCCGTAACGGCTAGACCTGCCTTTGTCAAGAACTAATCAGCACATCTCCCTATCAATAGAGATCGAATGTTTTTTGAACCATTCAAATCGGTTGATCCGTGCGCCCGAAAACGTGGACGAAAAAATTGCGGACATACACACACACACACATCCATTTAGTTTCTGAGGTATGCCTCTTAAAAATGTTCAGAAACCTTGAACACGTCGAGAAATGCAAAAATTTTCATTTTCGATTTTCGGCCCATTACTATAACTACCCTACGAATCAATTTAAACTAGATTGTTTGAAGAATTTTAGAATTTTTGATTTTTTTTTTTACATTTTTGAGAATTTTAAAAACATTTGAAAAATTTGATTTTTGTTGAAAAGCTTTAAAAAATCGTCTTTTTAGATAATTTTGAGCCAATTCTGAAAAAATTCGAAATATTATTTTTTTTGAAACTTTTGTTTTTTTTTTTTTCAAAATAATTAGACGTGCCTAACCATAAACAAATAATAATTTCTTCACTCTATCAACATAAACAAAATGCTTTTCGAATAATTCAAATTGGACGTTCCGTTATCCCAAAAACTGAATTGCATTCTATTCTAATTCTATTTTCTGTACTCGTTTCTCCAAAACGTCTGGACTTGCCTTTGCCAAAAACTAATCAGTACAACTCCCTACCAATAAGGATCGAACGCTTTTTAAATTGTTGAAATCAGTTGACACATGCACTCGTTGACAAAAACTTGTATCCATACAATTTTTCTAAGGTATACCAAAATGTTCAGAAAATTTTGGAACGTAAAGATCTGCCCAAAATATTTTTTGCAATCACTATAACTTACTCTATGGGTAGTTAAAACATAGTAGAAGATTTATTATGGTTAAATGGTAGACCATGTTTGCTAACTGACCATTGAACAAAACTAATTTTAATCATTTGTTGTGTAATTATTCCATTACAATTTCATTATTTCAACTACATGGTATATTATTGTAGTAATTAAATATATTCCATCGTCAGGATTTATCGGAAAAGCCCTAATCGAGAAACTCCTAAGATGCTGTCCCGAAGTAAAAACCATTTATCTCCTGGTCAGAAGTAAGAAGAATCAGAACCCTCAGGAACGAGTCAGAACCATCCTGGACAATCCGGTATTGTAAATATAAATTAAAATAATACTAATAGTTAGTAATGAAATATACTTTCACTGTTTTAGTTATTTGATACAATAAGACAAACCAATCCAAAGGCTTTGGACAAAGTCCAAGCCATCACTGGTGATGTCAGCCAATTGCGATTGGGCCTAGATAAGGAAGACAGGAAAAAACTTTTAGGCTGCCATGTCGTTTTTCATGCTGCAGCAAGTGTCAGGTAATAAAATAGTCGTTAAATCGTCAAAACTCTAGAAAAAAGTAATTCAAGAACATTTTCTCTATTGGTACTCGGAGAAACTCGTATATATTTTATTTTATTTTTTACTAGGTTCGATGATCCCCTAAAACAGGCAACCCTGATGAACACTCGAGGGACACGCGAAATTATGGAACTGATGTTGGAGATGCCCAATTTGGTGGTTGGTGTTCATGTGTCAACTGTATATTGCAACACCGACAAAGATGTTATCGAGGAAAAAGTGTACAGGGACCATGGAGATTGGAAAGAGGCCATCAAGTTGGCAGAAAGCTACCAAGACGACTATGCAATGGCTTGTTTAACCGAAAAGTGAGTTATATTGAAAATGTGTTCAACATGAATTATATTCTGGTTTATCTTCAGATGTCTGAATGGTTTGAAGAATACTTATCTTTACACCAAACATTTGGCAGAGAATGTCGTGGAAGATTACAGCTATCGTCTGCCTTTAGTTATATATCGACCAGGAGTTGGTGAGATACAAAATATTCACTGGATAATCATAGGTAGCATAAATTGAACAACATTATTTTCAGTCATCTCCATGTGGAAGGATCCTTTGCCAGGATGGACTGACAATTTAAACGGACCTATTGGCCTAAATTTAGCATCAGGAAAAGGTAAAAATCAAAATATGAAGTCAACATCTACTAAGATATAGAATTAAAGTCCTTATTTTCAAATTTCAGGATTTTTGAGAGTCATGCAAGCAGATCCAAACCATATAACAGATAATATGCCGGTGGACTTGGTTGTAAATGGCATGATGACAGCCGCTTGGAAAAAAGGAACAGAAAGGTAATAAAACAAAACTAAGTCCTCAATATTCTGTCTGTCCTGATTATTATATATTTATATATTTATTCTTTATTTCAGAGATACAGAAAATCTTCCAGTCTACAATTGCACCATGGACAGGTACCTGAAGTACAAACATTCAGAAATTCGCGATTTATCATTGGCAGCAATTCACGAATATCCTTATAATGGAGCCATGTGGTATCCGTTTTGTTATTTTGCCAAAAGTTTGACAGCATTCAGGATTCAGGTAATAATAGTAGTAGACAAAGAAAATGATGTTACATATTTATAAATATCGTTTATTTTATTTCAGTTCGTGTTACTAAACGCTTTAGTGGCAGTCGTTGTAGACACATTATTGAAATTAACTGGAAGAAAACCAATGTGAGTATAAAAAAAATTTTACTTTCTAAATAAAATAAGTTTATATTTCCATAAAAAGTACTTTCAATGTTTATCCAACTAAAACAGTCTATAAAGAAGCTATGAATCAAGTCTTAAACAGTTCATAAAGAAGCTATGAATAAAAACAGTTTATCTGAAAATTAGAACTCAGTACACCCTATGATAAAAATATTATTTTTGTATAAAAATTAGTCGAGTCGATTCTGTAAATATTAAGCGAATATCGAAATTATTAGAATAAATATCATTAAAATAATATTAAAACTAGTGGTGTATGGCATCGTGCCTTAAGGCAAATTGCTGGAACTTCCCGTACCGTAATGAAATATTCGAGAAATTTTAAACGTTTTCAAATATATTATTACACAAATGCTGTAATTTTCATTATTTTTGCTATCTTGTTATATCTGAGCAAATCAAATGAAAATCGTATCTTGTTATATCATTTCGAATTCAATTTAAAAAAAAATAGTTGCCTAATTTACAGAAAATTGAAAAAGTGCTCCCGCATAGTCACAGTCTAAACGCATTTGCAAATAATTCTGTGCGGCATTTTCACTTATACTGTGCTTAGCTTGCCGGCATTTTCACATTTTTCAATAGTTTTCACAAAATTGAAAAAGTGCTCCAGTACATAAACAGTCTAAACGCACTTGGGTAAACATTTGCACCAGAGTGGCGCTTAGACTGTGCTTAGCCCGGGTCATTTTTTCAATTTTTAATCCAAAATTACAAAAATATTTTTTTTAAAAAAATAGAAACATTTTTTTTCCAAAAGCAAGAATTTTCAATTTCGATTACTACGGGAAGTTAATAATCATTTCAAATATTAAAATAAATATACAGTAGAAATTTTTGTAATCATCCTATATCAAGGTTTTAAATTTATTTTCAATATTAAATTTAGAGGATGAGGTTGAATAATTTCTAAATGTACTTCAATAAAAATTCATAAATGTGTACTTAATGTTTAGTTTTGCCACATTTTTAAGAATATCGTTTATACCCTCCAATATTTGTTTAAAAGTGCCTTCGTATGTTGCCTTGAGGAACACCATTTTTCACTTATAACTTAAATCTCCAATTTCCAGGTTGGGAAAATTGACGAGAAAAGTCTACTTCGCCATAATATCAGTTTCATATTTCATTTCGAGAAATTGGCTTTTCAAATCGGAAAACTTCACGAATCTCAACAAGGAACTTCTACGAAGCGACTGGTAATTTATTTGTATTTTATATAAAAAAATACTAATATTGACAAATTCAATATATATTATTATAAATCTAGGAAAGACTTTGTAATCAATGGAACTAACTTCCACATTCGGGATTACGTAAAGTATGCCAGAATTGGAACTTCAAAATATATTTTGAAAGAGGAAGTTGATATTCCAAAAGCCAGAGCTCTCCATACAAAGTCAGTATATTGAAAATAATTCCTAGTTATTAAATTCTTTACCAAATTGTTTACCTTTTGCAGATTGAAGATTTTACACTACTCCCTGAAATATTTATTCTGGGGCTGCCTTTTGTACTATGTGATTTTGCCAAAGATCGACAGTTATTTACTCGCACAACACTAGCATCTTTCTTTGTCTTAGTGAAATTAGTCGTTGAATTAATTGTAATCAACTATACATAAAAGTTTTCGTTTTTAAATTTGCCTCTTCATAAGTAACATGGTAGAAATTCGGTTTGCAAAAGAGTTGCCCAATTTCAGACATTTGGCCTACTTTGAAGCATTGGGCAAGAAGTATCCAAATTTCAGAGATTTACATTTGGTCTAACTAATTTTAGAGTTGTTTATTTTAGATTTTAGTTTTTATATTTTTTTTTAGAAATATTACATAATTTCAGAGAGAGGTTTTCTAAATTCAGTTTATTACTAAAATTGCATATTTTCTGAGAGAATTTTCGTCATTTTAAATGAGTTGCTCAATTTTAGAGACCTGGCTCATCTTAACACAGAATATACAGAGTTTTTACCGAGGTTGCCTAATTTCAGAAAAAATGTCTAATTTCACAGAAGTTGTTCAATTTCAAAAAGGTTGATTATTTTAAGATATAACGTATATATTTCAGAGCGTTTTACAACTCAAAGAAGAGCAACATATTTGCAAAAAGTTTAGAAATTTACAAAAAAGTAGATTACTTCAAGAGACGTTTACTATTTTTAGAAGAATTTGCTCATTTTAGAAAAGATTGCCCATATTTAAAAAAATTGCCAAGATTGCTGATTTTTGAAAAGCCGACAAAATTTGAAAGAAATCGTATAATTTCAGGAGCTGCACAATATTAGAAGAATTGTCTAATTCAGAAAAAAAACTTTTAATAAATTTTTCCGATTTTCAGAAAGATTGCATATATATATATATATATATATATATATATATATATATATACACATATACATATACGAGTGTGATAAATGCATGTTACAAAACAAATTGAATCAAATCGAATTGAATGTTGAATAATGAATTCAATTAAAAATTCAATTCAATTAAAAATTCGATACAAAATGCGTCACATAATTGATAAAAATAATGACTTAACCAAAATCGAAATCGTTTTTAATTCGCGACCAATAATTACAAATTAAAAATTGTTTTTGATACTGCTGTACGAGCCAGCAAGCCGCCCAAAAATTTTATACATGAAATATGTTAAAATAATGTATTTCAAAACAATATACTGAAATCATAGTAACAAATTAGAATTACCACTAATTTAATTCAGAGTAAATATTGAAACAAAAGTCGACACCTTGGATGTCGTCTATACGACACTCGTACATACAGGTGGTCAAGCGGATGTCAAGGGATGTCAAAAGTTAATATTACGAAAATTGCACTTATTAATAAAACACCTTACTTATACGATAGTCCATCACAACAATAAACCAAACCCCAAGTACATAATACCTAATTTTAGAATTTGAATTTTTCAAAAAATCATTAGACAACTACCAATGGTTAAAACAAACTCTAGATAATATAATGTAATATTGAAATTGTACACGCCCAATATAATGAACAAAAATATAAGAACTTCAATGATTCTAAAGAATTTAGATGATCATCTTAAAACGAACATTGTTATAAAATTTCTCTAATTTTCTATCAATAATCCAGCACATGCTAATTCACGTTATACAGACCTGAAATTGATCTCTTCCAATATAGTTAAGAAAAACAGTTCAATCAAAAATAAAACTAGCTGTAAGTGGAATTCTGTCTTAAGGCAATTAAGGCATCGTGCCTTAAGGCAAATTGCTGGAACTTCCCGTACCAAAAATTATTATTTTTTTAAAAACGATTGACATTTTAAAAAAAAATTTACTTCGAAAAAATAAGATTTTTGAGAAACTATAAATTAAACAAAAAATTACTTTTTTTGAAAAAAATTTTTTTCAGATTTTTTTTTTTTTTTAATTTTTTTTGGAAAAAATGATGTTTTCCTTATTTTGGCATATTTTGGAAGATCTTTTTTTGAAAGCAATCGTACTGCTTTAACTGCATAGAGACAAAATGTCAAAGCGCGTAAGCGCCGCGTCGCCGTCTAACGAATAAATATTGGTACGGAACCCATAGGAATGCAAACAAAATTTATGCTTATTGTTAAAATCTCTATAAAATATCTGATAATTTGATGTGCATATGTCTAATGAGCATTTTTGACCGCCAAATGGCATTTTTTTTTTACTTTTTTTGTTAGATCTCCGAAACCGCTAGACCTGCCCTCATGAAAATTTGATCAATTCTTCATCTTGTCAAGACAAGTCAAATGTTTTTTGAATTATTAAAATCGGACGCTCCGTACTCTTAAAAACTGAGTTACCGTTTTCAGCACTTTTTGCCCCGTATCTTTGGAACGGCTGGACCTGCCTTCGCCAAAAACTAATCAGCACGTTTCCTAATCAATACGAATCGAATGTTTTTTGAATTATTCAAATCGGTTGATCCGTGTTCCCGAAATCGTCGACGAAAATTTGTATCCGCACATACATACACACACGTACATACATACATACATACACACACACACACATACATCCATTTTTTTTAAGGTATGCCAAAATGTTCAGAAACCTCTGAAAAATTTTCATTTTCGATTTTTTTGCGATTACTATAACTTACCCTACGGGAAGTTAAAAACTGATTTTAAAGCTTACACAATATCCTTTCAAATAGAACATGATAATATCAACTTCAATCAACATCATGTACTTCCAAAATTTCCATTCAACATGAAAACACAAATCGACACGGATAAAAAATGCTAAATAGTTTCAAAAATAACAAATTACTTGCACAAATAAGTTTATTTACCATCACCTCCTGTGATTGGCATGACCTCATCTAATATTTTTCCCTGCACGCGTATGGTCTCTATATTATAATACAATTCTCAAGCCTATATTATTATTCTCATAGTCATTTTGTCAATGTAAAATATTCCATAATTGAATTTGAATAAAATAGCTATTCATAAAAAAATCTATGACGACGACAACTTTGGCCAACAGAAGTTCACCATAATAATGATCTGTAGCTTCTTCTACAGTTCACACGCACGACTTCAGAAATAATTTTATTTAAAAAGGGAAAGTGATTTGAAATAATTCAGTTAGACTTTTAAAACTATTGTAATCAAGATTTAAAAGTATTATTCTCCTAAGCGCAATTAGTTGGTTAAGTTTAAAGATCATTTTGTTGTTCTTGGTCATCTTTTCCTGGTACGAAATGGACGACTTGACAATTCCAGAGTTTTTTAAAGATAAAGTGATTTTTATCACCGGAGGAAGCGGTAAGTACCCCAAAAATAATTCAATTTATTAAATCTATTGCTGCTCTTGCATTAATATAATAACTATTAACTTCCCGTAATCGTCCAAAAATCTGAATTAATTTTTTTTACATTTCTTCACGTTTCGAACATACCTCAGAAAAAATGGATGTTACTGTGTGATTTCGGGAACACGGTTTAACCGATTTCAATTATTCAAAATACATTCAATTCGTATTGATAAGGAGACGTGCTGATTAGTTTTTGGCAAAGGCAGGTCCAGCCGTTTCAAAGATACAGGACAAAAAAGCTAAAAATAGTAATTCAGTTTTTAAGAGAACGCAGAGTCCGATTTAAATGATTCAAAAACATTTTATTTGTATTGAAGAACTGATGAAATTTTTGGAAAGTCTCCGAGAGATTCAATTAAAAAAGTGAAAAAATGCCATTTAGCGGACAAAAATGATCATTAGAAATATGCATATCAAATTATCAGATATTTTGTAGATAATTTAATAATAAGAACAATTTTTGTTACAATTTTTTTGAGTTCCGTACTAAGATTTTTAATTTTTAAAGTTCACTTATACGGTTCAAACAAATTTCAAAATCTTCAGAAAAACTTAATTTTTCAAAATTTTCAAAAATATACAAATTTTTATACTTTAAATATATATTTTAAATTTAAAATTTATTTTAAGTAATAATATACTTCATATGCGTTATTGTAATCTAAATCTAAAAATAATAATTTTCAAGTGTTTGAGCGATAAAATCGCCACTGTATATTATGTGAACGAATAAATATATATTAATTATAATTATTTCTTTGAAAATATTTAAAACAATTATTATTAATCATTGATCAATATTTATTGATTATTAATTTTTTTGTTGCAATATTTAATTGTGGTACGGGAAGTTCCAGCAACTTGCCTTAAGGCACGATGCCATGGACCAATAGTTTATTGTATATAATAGTAATAATAGTATATAATAAAATTATTAAGGTAAAAAAACTATTATTATATCAACATTAGCAAGGTGTAAAAACTTATGTAAATAATTTCACTTACAAGTATTTATTTCAAATAGTAAAAAATTGTCTAGATAATAAAGTTGACTAGATAAATATAGAAAAAAATCTATCTATCAAGGAGGCGTTCATTAATCACTTGATCAATTTTTTAAGAATTTTTAGACCCCCTCCCCCTTGGTAATATTTAAAATTAACCCCCCTCGCCTACAAACATCACGTGTATTTTTAGTTACAAGAAAAAATTGTATGATTTTTGAATTTCTTTTTTGGAAATGTTCGGATTTTTTAAAAAATCAGATAAAAAATAAATACACGTGGTATCTTATTATACCTCTCCCTCCACCACTTTGAATTTTGTGATTTTTTGTCAAACTACCACTTTACCTAAAATCCTCATGTGATTAAAAGACATGCCCCAAACAGTTGTAGAAATGTATACCTATATTATAATCTAACGTAAAAAATAAATGCAAAAAAACAAGTAATAAAAATAATTAATTCGAATGTTTTGTTTTTATTACAAAGGATTTATTGGAAAAGCCTTGATCGAAAAACTATTAAGATGCTGCCCAGAATTAAAAACCATGTACCTCCTGATACGGACAAAAAAAAATCAGTCAGCCCAAGAGAGAGTCAAGACAATTTTGGACAATGAAGTAGACATGAAATTAGCCCAAAATCCTTCATATTTCTACTTTTCATAAATATCTTTTCCTCCAGATATTCGACACAATAAAAAAATCCAATCCCTCAGTTTTGAACAAAGTGGTCGCAGTTTCAGGAGACGTCAGCGAATTAGAACTAGGCCTTCAGACAACCGACAAAAAATTGGTACTTTCATCTAACGTGGTGTTCCACGCAGCCGCCAGTGTAAGGTAAGAAAAAAAAGAGTGCGCGTAAGGATCACACGCGATTGAAGTAAAACTTATTTGCTACTGTACAAAGTAGCAAATTTAAGTTAAGTAAAAATAAATTCATCATATAACAATTTTGAATAATGTTCATTAGTAATATGGTAACACTCGTGATGCACACATTTATTAGTGTCGTCAATCATTATACACATTTATATGATGATAAATTATAAATTATATATTTACGATTGCATTAAAAATATGTATAATATTTACAAACAATAGTGTAATCAAGGTCATACTTGAAATATGACATGATCGGTTTAAAGTAATTGCTGATTAATAAGTTCTATAATATTAGTTCACACAGTGGATTATGTTAAACAACGCCTAAACAAATATTGTTTTCGTAAGTTCAGTCATCATGTAATAATTGTGTTTGAAGAACTTCATGTAATTAAAATTAACATACATTCATTTACTGTATTCATTTACTGTATTTTTTTACTTTTTCGCTGACGATATAATCTCATCCCAGCTGTAATATCTGTCTTGCTTAAAAAATTGAAGCCATACTTTTATATTTGTTTTATTTATCAAGCCCTGCACATAGCTTGATCTATGAATCATTTTCTTTTTTATGTGAACTTTAATGCATTGATGATCATCAATATTACGAGGTAATAAATTAACCATATTATCAACGTTAACAGGCACATTTATAATTTGGCCAAATATTTCAAATTGTCCGTTTGCATGTCGCAATCGTCTAATTTGCATGAAACACAACCTAGGTGAAATTAACCTTTCATATACAGTTTCTAGTTTAGGTAGATAATTTGGTATAGGTAAAAATACAAACCCATTAAATTTACACAAAGTGTGAATTTTACGCGAATTTAATGCCTTTCGACAAGTTAGACATCCAACCTGATTATTTGAATCAATATTCAAAAAACCATTATTAAGAATTTGTTTTTGAGCATCATTTGATATTTCTAAGTCACTTTAAAACCAAAGTCGAGCGAATGACTCTCACTTCACGTTGGCGTAACAATTTCCGTTGCATTTGTAAGGATTTACACCCATGTCGCGCCTAAAGAAGTTTTACTTCAAAAAAAATTGTACCTAGTCCTGGATATTTATATACTTCATTTATCTTTTAGGTTCGATGATCCCCTAAAAAAAGCAACTTTCATGAACACCAGAGGAACCAGAGAAGTTATGGAACTGATGTTGCAAATGCCTAATTTGGTGGTTGGTGTCCACGTGTCGACCACATATTGCAACACCGACAAGGATGTCATCGAAGAAAAAGTTTACAGGGACCATGGTGATTGGAGAGAGGCTATAAGGATTGCCGAAAATTTTGAAGACGAGTATAAAATGGAATGTTTGACCGGAAAGTAAGATTTGCAGGACAAAAATAATTCTTAGAGATGTGTGGTGTTAATATGCTGTTTTTTTAAGGTGTTTGAGAAGCATGAAGAATACTTATATTTATACAAAGCATTTGGCTGAGAACGTCGTGGAAGACTATAGTGACAGGCTGCCTTTGGTCATATATAGACCAGGAGTTGGTAAAATAAATTAAATACATATAATATGTATAAGGAGCAAATAAATAAATAGTAGGTTCTTTTCAAATATCATTATGAATTATTTTAGTGGTGTCCATATGGAAGGATCCATTACCAGGCTGGACTGATAACATAAATGGACCTATTGGTCTAAATGTAGCTTCGGGCAAAGGTATAAAATTGGTATACCCATTTGTGTCTTAGAACTCAACGTCAAAGCATTGATAGTGAATTTATTTAAAAAAAACTAGTGGGGCGCATGGCATCGCGCAAGGCAAATTGGTGGAACTTCCCGTACTAAAAATTATTTTTTTTAAAAAGATTAACATTTCTGAAAAAATTAGATTTTTGAGAAACTATACATTTTTGACAAAAGTTTACTTTTTTGAAAAAAAAGACTTTTTGAAGAAAAATTTATTTTGCAATATTTTGGAAATTCTGAACTTTTTTCATACAATCGTACTGCTTTTACTGCAAAGAGATGAAATATCGAAGCCCGTAAGCGTCGCGTCGCCGTCTAACGGATAAACATTGATACGAAACCCATAGGAATGTAAACAAAATTTATACTTATTGTTAAAATGTCTATAAATTATCTGATAATTTGATGTGCATATGTCTAATGATCGTTTTTGACCGCCAAATGGCATTTTTTTACTTTTTTCGCCGGATCTCCGCAACCGCTAGAACTGCCTTCCCAAAACTTTTAACACACTTCATTTTGCCATACAAGAAAAATGTTTTTTGAATTATTTAAATCAGACGCCCCGTTCTCTCAAAAACTGAATTACCATTTTTGGCACTTTTTGCCCCGTATCTCCAAAACGGCTGGACCTGCCTTTGCCAAAAACTAATAAGCACATCCCTCATACATAGGAACAAAACGTTTTTTAAACTATTTCAACACACACATACATTTTTTCTAAAGTATGCCAAAATGTTCAGAAACTTCTGTAACGTAAAGATATATAAAAATTTCCATTACCGATGTTTTTGCGGGTAAAAGATGCAACGAAGTAGGAATATTATGAACTTTTAAGTACAGCCTAAGGCTTCGGTCAAACCTTGATCATTTTTCGGTTATTTTGGTTCATTTTTATTAATTTTGTTTAATTTAACTTTAGAACCCTAACTGCAAATAACATTTCTAGGATCACAATAAAAAATAATAACACGATTGATCAAAGTTTCAAGAATTGAGACGTTTTGTTAAAATATAAATGTAAAAGTGCCAAAATGTAGAAGGCCCACTTTATAAAAAACGTATTTAAACATGTTGGCTAGTTTCAATTTTATTTAAATTTATTTTTCACCCCTTTTCAGCCCGTTGAGTTCTGGGACACTCTGCCTTTTATTATAAATATTTATTATCATTTTTATTATTATTTTTAGGTTTTCTAAGGGTGATCCGTGCCGATCCAGCACAAATAGTTGACGACATGCCAGTTGATTTGGTCATAAACGGTTTAGTGGCTGCTACATGGAAAAAAGGAACAAAAAGGTAAAAAGGTTTATAGTTGAAATATTTAAATTAATTCAGAACATTGATAAATCCTTTTCACTTGAGAAAAAAATAGTGAAAAATTTTTGCAGAGCATTTGGTGGTACTACTTCAATGGGATAAATCAATATTGATAATTGTTCGATGTCTGAATTTGATTTTTCTTTGTATGAAAATAGTGTAAAAACATAGATTTTGTCTGATACTTATTTCCAACAATTTTTCCCATAATGAATTACATTCATTTTATAATTAGCTAAACATACTAAAGATACTTAAGGTGGAAAAGAATAGGGTGTTCATTCGACGAATAGCTATCAAGTTAGATTTCCTAGTTATTTTTACCTAAAAGTTTTCTGGTTTCTAAATTTTAGAGACATTGAAAATCTGCCTGTCTACAATTGCACAATGGAAGGTTTCTTGAGACACACTCACAAACATGTAAGGGACGTGTCTCTGGAGATGATCTCGAATTATCCATATAATGGGACAATTTGGTACCCATTTTGTGATTTCACCAAAAATGCATTGCTGTTCAAGATCAAGGTAAAATGAAAATAATGATAAAGCACGAATCAACATTCAACATTTCCTGGTTCTCGCTTAAGAGAAAAATGTTATTGCAAGGCCATGTTACGCTCTAATTTCCATATATTATGCTACTAAATCATATTGAATACTGTCAAAATGTCATGTATTTGCCGTGCATTCAGAAGTTTCACACGTAAACTGCAACGTCACTCGTATGTTTTGAAGCTGGGTCAGAAAGACCCTGTTATCTAATATCGTTTTTTTGACGTTTGCGCGGTTTATAGGTTAGGTTTTCTATCTGACAATCTGAGAAATAGGACTGACTGTACAGCAACCACATGGCTTTTGTCAATATTAGGTTGTCAAATATCTCCCTTCCGCTTTTTTGCTCTTGGTTTATGATACAAAAAGGCGGAAGGGAGATATTTGACAACCTAATATTTAAAGGTAGTATGGAAAGTTCTTCATAACATGACCTTGCCATAACATTGGTCTGTTTTGAAGCACAATCGGTCTCTAAATATAAAAATCTCTTGGTATACGAAATATTTTGCTCTCATTTTATTGAAGAAACTTTTATTCTCATATTCACTTCATATCTATTCATAATTTTCCAAGTAAAGTTTTCATCATAGGCTGCAAAACTTCTTATCAAAAACGCAATTTCAACAGTCCGGTATATTTTTATATCTACGTTTTTAGTTTATTTAAAGTTTCTGAAACTTCTTGGAAGTTAATATTTTCAATGCAATAAAAATGTATTTTAATATAACAAAAACTGAATATTTAACTTTCCGTAGGGTAAGTTATTGTAATCGCAAAAAATCGAAAATAAAAATGGGGTTTTTGAACATTTTGGCATACCTTAGGAAAAATGGATGTATGTGTGTGTGTGCGGATACAAATTTTCGTCAACGATTTCGGAAACACGGTTCAACCGATTTCAATTATTCAAAAAACAATCGATAAGCTAAAGCAGTGCGATTACTTTCAAAAAAAGTTCAAAATTTCAAAATAAAAAAAGCATTTTTTTTAAAACCTCTTTTTTTCAAAAAGTTTAATTATTTTCAAAAATTGAAAATTTCTCAAAAATCTATTTTTTCAAAGTTTAAAAGAAATTTTAATCTTTTTTAAAAAAAAATATTTTTGGTACGGGCAATTTGTCATAAGGCACGATATACCAATAGTTATTATTCAGACGAACTCTGATTTACATGAATTAATTTTTTTTTGATTATTCGTAGAAAACGCTTCAACTAGAAAAAAGACTACAATAAACAAATTTAAATATATATTGAATTTAAATATCGTTAAAACTTCTATCAGCATTTTTCCATTTACTAAAATTTGGCAAATTACACATATCTTTATTTTTAATAAATCATATACGGCTTCAATAATTTACAATTTAATCAGAATTTATTTCATTTATATTTATATTTTAGTTTTTGCTATACAATGCTCTTGTTGCCATTGTGGTCGATAGCGTGTTAAAACCATTAGGAAAAAAACCACTGTAAGTATATATTTTTAAATAAAATAAAATAATAAAAAATAAATTTGCCTCGAGTATAAACCCTGTTATTCATATAAATATGTCTTTATTCATATTTTATTTTTTAGATAAGAATTTTAAAATGAATTATATATGCATTCGATAAGAGTGTAGTGATATGAACAGAATCAACAATAACAATTGCATTTACTACTTCAATAGATAAATTTTAACTAATGAGCCAATTCTCTGATAAAATAGAAATATCATGTTACGGGGTTATATTCATATGAGTTGGTAGTAAGAACCTGTCAAATATTTATATAAAACCTAATTTAACGTATGTGTTATCAGAAAGATGCGCTCATGATAAAATAGTTATTGCATGTTTATGCCTTTTGGAGGTTAGGTTTTATGTATAAAACGCTTGATCGCACAGCAAATAGAATAACTTTTTGACACTTTGTTACTACCAACTCATACCAAGATAGACCTATAATATAGCATTTTTACCATAATATTTCTATTTTATCAAAAAATTGGTTCTACAAAAAAATACAGTTATTTATTATAAATAAATGCAATTTGTTGAAATATTTATGCTTTTCAGATTAGGAAGGCTAACAATAAAATCATACCACGCTATTACATCAGTGTCGTACTTTATTTTGCGAAATTGGGAATTCAAATGCAAAAATTTTATAAACTTGAATCAGGAACTAAAACCGAGCGACAGGTAATAGAAATAAATAATTTTAATTAAATTAATCACTTATTTTCAAAAATAAAAAAATATTCTCGCATAAGTTTGTTTTCATAGAATCAAGTGAGATATAAGTCATACCTTTCAACAAAAACGAAAGAGTTTGATTCATTTAATAGATATTTTAGTTAAAAAATGTATAAATGCTCGAAATTGACTATTCTCAAATGAGTTTAATGCAGGATAATATATATGAAATATATATTCAAAACATTCTTTATTATTTAGTTTATTTATTTATTTTAGGAATAATTATATTGTCGATGCCTCTAGTTTGGATTTGTATGACTACATGGTCAATGCAAGGATAGGAACATCAAAATATTTATTGAGGGAAGAAATTGATTTGCCCACGGCCAGATTCCAATATAAATTGTTAGTAATATTTCTCTGAACCGAGTGTAAATATTGTAAAGTTATTTCTATCTTAAAATTACAAAGACTAAATTCAAACACCCAATTTTATACAATAATGCATGGCACAAAAAATGATGAAAAATTCTCTAATAAGATAATCATATATTAATAGTATATTTATTAATAGAAAATTTTATTACATATTAATTTATTATATTGTTTTATTTTTAGGTTAAAAGTGCTGCACTACACACTAAAATATTTATTCATAGGATACATTCTATATTTTGTGATAGCACCGAGAGTCCAACATTTATTTTTTAGTAATATTAAGTAAAACTTGTTACTTATTTATAATGATGTATTTGTTCTTGAAATATAAATATTTACAAACAAATTTAATTTTATAATATAATTATAATACTATTCAGCACGATTTCCAAATTAAATTGAAATTTCAAAATCGGTTCAGAATTTTTTGCGACTCGTACAAAAAATGTTGCAATTTTCCACTTAAACCATAAAATTTTCTAGTCGTATTTTCCGGCAAAAACATTAACTTCTCCTTCGGTAATTCAATAAATATAATAATTATCAAGAAAAACAGAAGAACCAGCAGTAAATATGGATATGAATTGTACAAATTTATTACCATCACCTACTTGCCAATAAAAAAGTCTCGTCAAAATCGGTCCAGCCGTTCCAGAAATTAGCCGCGGAACTAACACTCAGTCTGACAAAAATGGTTGGACTGAAAAATGTTGGTTTGATGTATCTACCGTATTTATTTATACGTTATTTAGCAATTTTATTTAAATGTATGAATCATGGATATTTATTATTACAGACTAGGTCGTCTTCCAAATTTATTTACTATTTTATTTTTCTGAATAGTTAATATTTGTCTTTTAAAATAATAATTTACTAGTTCATTGCAATCTTCGAGGTCATCAATGACTTCTAATGCAAAACAATATTCCCGTTGTCTAGTCGTCACCCAAATTAATGCACAAAAATAAATTAACAGTTATCGCGAAGCAAATTAGTTTGTAAATTTATGAAAAAACAATTTTTGTCCGATAATATAATATTTGTGCATCGGAAATTGCAATAGACAGTTCTAGGCCGATTGCTAAACGACCAGGAGGAAAATTAGTGGACGACCAGGAAGTTAATTAGACAATTGTGATCTGGATTGGCTTTATTATGACTGATATAACTATTCCTGAATTTTTTAGTGGCAAAGAAGTTTTCATAACTGGAGGAAGCGGTAAGTAACATGGATAAATTTGTCAACAGTTTTATTTCTTAATTCCTATCATCCAGGATTTATCGGAAAAGCCCTAATCGAGAAACTCCTACGATGCTGTCCCGAAGTAAAGACCATTTATCTCCTGGTCAGAAGTAAGAAGAATCAGAAGCCACAGGAACGAGTCAGGACCATCCTGGACAATCCGGTATTGTAAATATAAATTAAAATAATAATAATAGTTAGTAATGAAATATACTTTCACTGTTTTAGTTATTTGATACAATAAGGCAAACTAATCCAAAGGCTTTGGACAAAGTCCAGGCCATCACCGGTGATGTCAGCGAACTGCGATTGGGCCTGAACGAGGAGGACAGGAAAAGACTTTTAGGCTGCCATGTCGTTTTTCATGCTGCAGCAAGTGTCAGGTAATAAAATAGTCAATGAATCGTCAAAAGTCGAAAAAAAGTAATTTGAGAACATTTTCTCTATTTGGAATTCGGAGAAAGTCATATATATTTTATTTTATTTTTTACTAGGTTCGATGATCCCCTAAAACAGGCAACCCTGATGAATACTCGAGGTACCCGCGAAATGATGGAACTGATGTTGCAGATGCCCAATTTGGTAGTAGGCGTCCACGTGTCGACTGCATATTGCAACACCGACAAAGATGTCATCGAGGAAAAAGTCTACAGAGACCACGGAGATTGGAGAGAGGCCATTAGGTTGGCAGAAGGGTACCAGGACGACTATTCTTTGGCTTGTTTAACCGAAAAGTGAGTTATATTGAAAATGTGTCGAGCATGAATTATATTCTGGTTTGTCTTCAGATGTCTGAATGGTTTGAAAAATACTTATACTTACACCAAAAATTTGGCAGAGAATGTCGTGGAAGATTACAGCCACCGTTTGCCTTTAGTTATATATCGACCAGGAGTTGGTGAGATACAAAATATTCACTAGATAAACGTAGGTAGCATGAATTGAACAAAATTATTTTCAGTCATCTCCATGTGGAAAGATCCTTTGCCAGGATGGAATGACAATTTAAATGGACCTATTGGCCTCGAATTAGCATCAGGAAAAGGTACATATTCAAAATATGAAGTCTACATCTAAGATATACATTTGATGTCCATATTTTCCAATTTCAGGATTTTTGAGAGTTGTACAAGGAGATCCTGACCACATATTAGACAATATGCCAGTTGATCTTGTTGTAAACGGTATGGTGACTGCCGCTTGGAAAAAAGGAACGGAAAGGTAATAAAACAATACTAAGTCCTCACTATCCTGTCTGTCCTAATTATTATATATTTATATATTTGTCCTTCATTTCAGAGATACAGAAACTCTTCCAGTCTACAATTGTACCATGGACAGGTACATGAACTATACCCATTCAGAAATCCGAGACATGGCACTTGCAGAAGTTAGCAATTGTCCGTTTAATGGCACCATGTGGTATCCATTTTGTTATTTTGTGAAAAGTCTTATGACGTTTCGAATTCTGGTAACAATAACAATAAACAATAGAATATATATATACAGCCAACCCTCCTTTATCTGTAAACTACGGCAATTTTTTAAAACTTAAACTACTTGTCGTAGGGCCGTAATATTTCAGTAAGTTCTTTAAGACCATGATATATATCGCCAAAAAAAGTTCCATAAAAATCGGCTTAACAGTTAATTACAAGAAAACGGCTCGATAGATTTTTACCTAAAGCTAATCAGCATCATTCCCAACTAATACCTTTCGAACAGTTTTAGATTTTTTAAAATCGATTCGGTAGTATGAGCTTAAATGTGGACAAAAAGTTTTAAACTTTTTTCCAAATTACAAAGAAGTGACTTGGCCGAGCGCTGCAAAAATCTGAAAAAACATATCAAAACAATAATCCACATCAAAATACATCAATTGGTTTTTAAAATATTGAAATCAGTTCAGACGTTTTTGAGCAAACTTCGAAAAAAATTCTAATTTTGACAAACGTCAAAAAAAACGACACTAATTTTTGGAAACTTTGACGAATTTTTAAAGCTAATGTTGTCCTAGAGCGGTAATATTTTAGTATGATCTAGAAGACTATGATATCTAAATCGAAAAAAATCATAAAATTCGTCGAAGTTTTTTTTTTTTTTAAACTTCATTACAAGAAAACGGCCCGGCCAATCTTTACCAAAAACTAATCAGCACGATTCCCAACCAATGTCTTTCAAACGGTTTTTGAATTTTCAGAATCGATTCAGAATTGCGGTCTAAAACGTAGACGAAAATTTTTTCACTTTCCTGCGATTTATAAAGAAACGGCTTGGTCGGTCGACGCACAAAACTGAGAAACGCTAGTCCTCATCGAAATACATCGAATGGCTTTTAAATTTTTGATCGGTCGAGCCGTTTTTGAGAAATCGTCGATTTACGACAAAAAATCTGTTCGCACACACACACACACATACAAATGCATACTTTTTCCAAATTTGGTCTCATTCGATTCAGAATCACTTGAAACGTCGAGAAAACATAAAATTAGCGGATCGGATTTTTTGATAAAAACATAAACTTCTCCTTCGGGAAGTTAAAAAACTGTTTATCTTGGAAAAAGTTTTTCAAGCTGATTTTTTTAGAAAGATTGATGTTAAATTGGCATATCACTAGTTAATTAATCCGAAGTCGTACACTATTATATAATCTGACATATTTATATAAACATATTGTAAAAAAGTTTATATTAACTTCCCGTAGATCGCAAAGAAATCGAAAATGAAAATTTTTATATATCTTTACGTTTCAGAGGTTTCTAAATATTTTGGCATATCTTAGAAAAAATAAATGTGTGTGTGCGTGGTATGTGTGTGTGCGTGTATGTATGTGTGTACAGATACAAATTTTCGTCGACGATTTCAGGAACACGGATAAAGCGATTTGAATAATTCAAAAAAGATTTGATTTGTATTGATAAGGAAACCTTCCGAAGATGTGGGGCAAAAAGTGCCAAAAACGGTAACGCAGTTTTAAGAGAACGGAGCGTCCGATTTGAATAATTGAAAAAACATTTTACTTGTATTGACAGGATGAAGAAATGATCAAATTTTCATGAAGGCAGGTCTAGCGGTTTCGGAGATCTAGTAAAAAAGTAGAAAAAAATGCCATTAGGCGGTCAAAAATGATCATTAAACATATGCACATCAAATTATCAGATATTTTATAGAGGTTTTAACAATAAGTATAAATTTTGTTTACATTCCAATAGGTTCCGTACCAATGCTTATCCGTTAGACGGCAGCGCGGCGCTTACGCGCTTCGATAATTCGTCTCTATGCAGTTAAAGCAGTACGATTGTTTTAAAAAAAAGTTCAGAATTTCCAAAATATTTCAAAATACACTTTTCTTCAAAAAGTCTTTTTTTTTTAAAAAAGTAAATTTTTGTCAAAAATTTATAGTTTTTTAAAAATCTAATTTTTCAGAGTAATTTTTTTTCAAAAATGTTAATCTTAAAAAAAAAATAATAATATTTGGTACGGGAAGTTCCAGCAATTTGCCTTAAGGCACGATGCCATGCGCCCCACTAGTTAAATCTTTGTACAACCATATCTGGTTACTAGAATCGTTTATAGGTTGCACGGAATAAAGAGTCCGTGTTATCGGAGGAATGTCGGATTTTCGGCTTCGTGTAGTAAAGAAACTGTGTTTCCAGAGTACCTTGTTAACGGAGAGTTGGCTGTATATATGCATATATATATATATATATATATATATATATATATCATTTATTTTAGTTTGTGTTCCTGAATGTTTTGGAGGCAGTCATTGTGGATGCATTGCTGAAGGTTTCAGGAAAAAAACCAATGTGAGTACTTGAATGCCATTATTTACGCATATCAGAAATAATATGAATGTGAAATAATGTCACACCCAAAAAAATCTCGAATTTCTTTACTAATTTTATTGCGAATACGTTCGAAGTAGGGAACCCATCAATATTAGTTTTAAAGTTCCTTCTAATGTTGAGTTGCATTGATTAAAATATGATCTTTTATTTCAAGGCTGTGCAAATTGACAAGAAAAACCTACTTCGCCATGCTATCTGTGTCTTATTTCGTTTCGAAAAACTGGCTTTTCAAATCCTCGAACTTTACGAATCTCAACAAGGAAGTTCTACATAGCGACTGGTAATTTAAATTTATCAGAACAAATACTAGAAATACTAAAAATAAAATTGTTTTTTTTTATTCTAGGAAAGATTTCGTGGTCGATGGAAGTAATTTCAACGTTCAGGATTTTACAAGAAATGCCAGAATGGGAATATCAAAATATATTTTGAAAGAGGAGATAGATCTTCCGAGCGCCAGGGCTCAGTACCAAAAGTAGCTATAATATAAAATATTTTATTTGATTTTAAGTAATTTAGAAAAAAATTAAAAATAAGTACTATTTCACCAATAGCTAACTAAATTCAATCGACTGATCCCGTCTATTTAATTTCAGATTGAAGATCCTGCACTACTCCGTGAAATATTTATTCTGGGCCTGCCTTTTGTATTATGTCATACTGCCAAAGATCAACAGTTATTTAGTGCAATAAAGACAATTTTATTTTAGTGAAATTATAAGTTAGCATTGAAGACACTTACATATAAATTGTCAATATTTTGTTGTCTAAATATTTTTTCAAATAAATAATTTATTTTGTAACAGGGATTCTTATTAAAACTTCGTTTTTCAAAGTGGTTGCCTAGATAAGTGACCAATTTTCAGAGACCTTCTAATTTACACCATGGTTGCATGTTTCAGAGAAGTTTTCAGAAAGATAGCACATTTTCAGGAATGTTGCCGAATTTCAGAGTTTGTGTAAGAATACTATATAGATAGCAAATTTTGGTAAGATTTAGTTGTCCAATTTTAGAGAGTTTGCCAGAATTAAGAGAAATTCACAACTTTCAGAGGGATACCAATGTTTAGATTGATTACCAGTTCGGAGAAAGATTATACCATCAAGACAAGGAATTTTATCGTCATTCAATGTTACATCAAAATGACAAAAAAAAATTAACTGATCCTTGTCAAAAACTAATTAGCACAATTCCAGACTGCTACCTTCAGAATGTTTTTCAAAAACCAAGTGGAAAAATTATTAACTTATAAAACTAATTAGCGTGTGATAATCAAGTTTTATGAAATCGCATTTAAATTAGTTCAACCGTTTCTGAGGAAAAATCGACGAAACTTGACATTTTGTTACGAAGAATTTTTAAGGAAAACAAAAAAAAATTTTTTTTAAATGTCAGAACAAAAAATCAATTTCCATTTTTTTCATATCAAAAATGATTTGAATTTTCATTTTAAATCTAGCTAAAATACTAAACTTCAATTATAAATAATTTTAATTTTGCAATTCAGTTTATTCATTCTTAGAAATATGAGATAAAAGGTCCTTCAATTTTAATTAGGTTTTGTTTCCTTATTTTCCTCGTCCTCCAATGTATAAGCTCTTATATTTTGCAACAAAATAAGAATGGAACTAGGAATGTGATCGTGCCTTAAAGCAAATTGCTGGAACTTCCCGTACCGTAACAAAATGTTCGAGGAATATTAAATGTTTTCAAATAGATTATTATTATTATTGTAACATTGTCTAATATTTATTTATAAGAATTATATAAACTGAATTGCAAAGTTGAAAATATTTGTTTAAAGTATATTAAAACTTAAGTCAGAATTACAATTAAAATCTGAATTATTTTTTGAAAAAAAAAATTGTAAAAAAAAATTGAAACGGACGCTTAGTTCTCTCAAAAACAGCCATTTTTTGCACTTTTAGCTCTGTATCTCCGAAACCGCTGGACCTGCCTTATCCAAAAAAACTAATCACCACTTCTCCTTGTCATTACGAATTGAATGTTTTTTGGATCTTCCAAATCCGATGCTCCGATCTCTCAAAAACTCGATTTCTATTTTCTGCACTCTTTGCTTCCTATCTCCTAATCGGCAGGACCTGCCTTCGCCAAAAACTAATCAGTACATTTCCCTATCAATAGGAATCGAATGTTTTTTGAACCATTCAAATCGGTTGATCCGTGCGCCCGAAAACGTGGATGAAAAATTGTATTCATACATACATACACACACGCTCATCCCTTTTTTCTGATGTGTGCCAAAATGTTCAGAAACCAGGAACGTGAAGAAATGTAAAAATTTTCAATTTCGACGATTTGGATGATTACAATAACTTACCCTACGGAAAGTTAAAAAAGTTACAGTATTTATAATAATATATTTGAAAACATTGAAAATTCCCTAAATATTTCACTACAGTACGTGAAGTTCCAGCAATTTGCCTTAAAGCACGATGCCATGCACCACTAGTTGCAATTTGGTTCTCAAACGATTCAGAATGACTCGAAACATAGTGGCAAAACTGATTTTCTGCCGAAAACATAAACTTCTCCTTCGGGAAGTTATCAATAATTTAAAATCAGCAAAACTGAAAAAATTTTTCCAAATTTTCCATCCTTCAATTAAACACCTTGATCCGAAATAATTTTTGTTATTAATATTTACAGCTGTCTTATGAATAAATACATAACTAATATTTGTCATCGATGACTTTTCTAATGCAAAACAATATTCTAATCCACATTATTGTCGTCACACAAATTAATGAATAATAATAAATTTAAAAATACTGCATAGCATTAAATTTAAAAATATTCTGCATAAGACAGTTCTAGGACAATCGATAATCCATCAGTAAGTAAATTTGTGTTCTACCAGGAACAGATTAAATAGGAAGATAATTAGACAATTGTGATCTGAATTGGAATTATGACAGATATAACTATTCCTGAATTTTTTAGTGGAAAGCAAGTTTTTATAACTGGAGGAAGCGGTGAGTGGAATGTATATATATATTAGTTTTCTTTAAATAGTTCTTAGTTTTGGTTTTGGATTTACACTTGGTGAGTACTAAGGAAGACGTCAAACCCACATATTTATAAATTGAAAATTAGAATTAAATACTTGTAATCGACTATAAAAGTGATCGGTGATACAATTTCATTATATAAATTTATTAATCCTGCCAGAAAAAATGATTATGTTAAATAGTAGGCCAAATTTGATAACTGGCCATCGAATAACACGATTTTTTGTGACTTGCCCTTATTTTTTGAGATCGTTTTGAATTAACTATAATTGCAATTAAATATAATCCATCGCCAGGATTTATCGGAAAAGTCTTAATCGAGAAACTCCTACGATGCTGCCCCGAAGTAAAGACAATTTATCTCCTGGTCAGAAGTAAGAAGAACCAGAAGCCGCAGGAACGAGTCAGAACCATCCTGGACAATCCGGTAAAATAACTAGTTGGTATTGGTATTTTGCCTTGAGGCAAGTTACATGAACTTCCCGAAATGTGTAAATAATCGACTTAATCAATAAAAAATAAATTAATTTATGAGTTATTGAAAGTATTCCGAGTGGATTTATTATACATAATTGCAAACGAACGAACGAACACGTTAACTCGAAGTATTTTCTAAAAGCAAATTTTCAAAAATCAATAATTTTAATTAATCAATAATTATAATTAAACCAGTTTCCATAGGACTTTAATGGTTTACTATTGTAAAGACCAAGTACACTATCGTTATACCAACTAAATCGTCTAATTTTATTTTAACAAAAAAAATATTCATTTTCTCAAACTTTGATGAATTTTTAAAATTAAACACTTGTCGTAAGGCCGTAATATTTCAGTAAGTTCTATAAGACCATGATATATATCGCCAAAAAAAGTTCCATAAAAATCGGCCTAATTTTTTTTTAACAGTTAATTACAAGAAAACGGCTCGGTAGATTTTCACTAAAAACTAAATCAGTATCATTCCCAACTAATATCTTTCGAGTTTTTGATTAAATGTGGACGAAAAGTTTAACACTTTTTTCGAAATCACAAAGAAACGGCTCGGCCGATCGTCGCACAAAACTGAGAAACAATAATCCTCATCGAGATACTCCAAATGCTTTTTAAATATCTGAAATCGGTTCAGGCGTTTTTTGAGCAAACGCCGATGAAAGTTCTAATTTTGACAAATGCCAAAAAGACCATACTAATTTATGCAAACTTTGACGAATTTTTAAAGCTAAACCAGTTGTCGTAGGGCCGTAATATTTTAGTATTATCTAGAAGACTATGGTATCTACCGTCAAAAAAATAATCATAAAAATCTTCGAATTTTTTTTTTTAAACTTTATTACAAGAAAACGGCCCGGCCGATCTCTATCAAAAACTAATCAGCACGATTCCCAACCAATATCTTTCAAACGGTTTTTGAATTTTCAAAATCGATTCGGAATTGCGAGCTAAAACGTAGATGAAAAATTTTTCACTTTTCTGAGAATTATAAAGCAACGTCTTGGCCGATTGTCGAGTGGCTTTTAAATTTTTGAAATCGGTCCAGCCGTTTTCGAGAAAACGTCGATTTACGGCAAAAAATCTGTTCACATACGCACACACACATACTTTTTCCAAATGTTGGTCTTATTCGATTCAGAAAGGCTTGAAACGTCGAGAAAACATAAAATTAGCGAATCGGATTTTTTGATGAAAACATAAACTTCTCCTTCGGAAAGTTAAATATAAATTAAAATAATAATAATAGTTAGTAATGAAATATACTTTCACTGTTTTAGTTATTTGATACAATAAGACAAACCAATCCAAAGGTTTTGGACAAAGTCCAGGCCATCACCGGTGATGTCAGCGAACTGCGATTGGGCCTGAACGAGGAGGACAGGAAAAGACTTTTAGGCTGCCATGTCGTTTTTCATGCTGCAGCAAGTGTCAGGTAATAAAATAGTCGATGAATCGTCAAAAGTCGAAAAAAAGTAATTTAAGAAAATTTTCTCTATTTGGAACTCGGAGAAAGTCATATATATTTTATTTTATTTTTTACTAGATTCGATGATCCCCTAAAACAGGCAACCCTGATGAACACTCGAGGGACACGCGAAATTATGGAACTGATGTTAGATATGCCCAATTTGGTGGTCGGTGTCCACGTGTCGACTGCATATTGCAACACCGACAAAGACGTCATCGAGGAAAAGGTCTACAGGGACCATGGAGATTGGAAAGAGGCCATCAGATTGGCAGAAGGGTACCAGGACGACTATACAATGGCTTGTTTAACCGAAAAGTGAGTTATATTGAAGATGTGTTGAACATGAATTATATTCTGGGTTATCTTCAGATGTCTGAATGGTTTGAAGAATACCTATATTTACACCAAACATTTGGCAGAAAATGTCGTGGAAGACTATAGCCATCGTCTGCCTTTAGTTATATACCGACCAGGAATTGGTGAGATACAAAATATTCACAAGACAAATATAAGTGGCATAGATTAAGTAAAATTGTTTCCAGTCACTTCTATGTGGAAGGAACCTTTGCCAGGATGGGCTGACAATTTAAATGGTCCTGTCGGCCTCAGTTTAGCAACAGGCAAAGGTAAAAATCACAATATGAAGTCTACATCTAAGATATCGATGCGAGATCTTTATTTTCAAATTTCAGGATTTTTG